GGAAACTGGCCAGAATCGAACGTTGGCAATTTGGTGCCCATTGGCAGTCGGAGGCAACAGTTAAGACCCGAAATTGCTCAATTTTCACGCTGGACCAGGAACAACGAAGCAAAAAAAAAGAAAAGAAATCGGAAAATAAGAAAAACAGAAGTGAACCGAATCAATTGTCCCGCGACGAGAGGCGACGGAGCTAAGGAAAACTTTCGGCAAATGGCAGCTCATTTTGTATTTATCAAAGGGACCGATGAGGAGGCAACAGCCACGTCTGGCCTGATGGCGGGATAAACTTTTATTTCAATGAGAACAATCAGAAATTCCATTGCACACTGGTCGAAAAGGTTTTTATCTAGCTATAGAACTAAGATTGTCATAGAAAAGCCTAAGGTTTTCATCAATTTTAAATTTCAAACTTATGTTTTTAAGCACAACTGAAGGAGAAAGCCACTCCTACTTAAGCCATAGGCAATCGATATAATCCGAATTTTAAGTAAAACTAAACAATTTTACAACGAAAAATACTCATACGCCACGTTGACTCAAGGCAATAAATCCATCTTTAAAAATCCCTTAAAATTATGCTACAATTTACGTGAAACACCCATTGTGCATCTCTTAAGTCCCAGCTGTGCCGCAAAAATACGAAACACACTCAATAGCCATACAAACACACACGCACGCATATTTGCTTGGCTTCTCTCGCTTTCTCTCCATTTCCGTTGCACGAGACAGGAGACAGCAGACAAGAGAAAAGGGGACAAGGGAAAATATAAGAGTAAGAGGAGCAAGTTGTGTGGCATACTTTTCGGCAGAGCCTCTCCTTGGCATACAAATGCAGGTAATAACGGCTGGGAAAACTTTCTGCTCACTGGCATTTGCAAATGAATGGCGACTGTTCTAATTTTGGCCTGCCCGGAATACTTGCCTGTTGTTATTTTCCTTTCTCTTAAATATGTATACAAAAAATGAGCAGCTAAGCGGGCTAACACACATACACTGCATCGGATTTATTATTAATGTAGGCCCATCTCCCCTATACCCCTCTAAACATACACATACGTCTCAGTACAGCCCGTTCCATGTTTTGTATTTTCTTCTGTTTTTGCTGACTTTGCTCGACTGTTTGCCCAAGGCCTTTTTTTCTAGGCCTTTTCCTCATCCTTCGAGCTTTTCCCGGTTCCATTTTTGTTTGCCTGCCTGTTGCGGCCTTTAGCTTATTATCATTTATTTATTTATTTATGTCTAGCGCGTCAGTGGCAATATTTTATTTTTTCATTTTAGTTTGCGGATGCTGGGCCAGCCACTCATTCGATTGTGCAAATCACCAGGGGTCAGAGTTTAGGGCTATTTGGCCGTCGAGCTCTTGGTTCCATTAATAAAGTTGCCAAGAAAATATGGTCATATCCAGTCAGAGATTGGCTCGATAACGCCTTTATTGAATTGTGAACGGCATATGTCGGCACTGTTGTGATTGGACCATAAATGATTTCAATAAATATCTTAATGTCTTAAGTCTGACAGGGTACTATAAAGGCAGGAATATATCTACAGAAATCTTAAATCGCAATTAAATTGGTATTAAAGTTTTGAAATGAATAAGTAGAAAGATTAAAGCTACTTCGAAAGCTATAATTTTTAACTTTTGTAAATAGTTTTCAGTTTGTGTTACTAATTCCTTGCACTGAGCCCAGCTTTTATGCTTATTAAGTTTCCTTTTCCACTTTTAAATTCCTTTTATTATTTTTTATGTAAATATAAAATGCAAATCTGAAGTGGTTCTTTGTACAAGAAAACCTTTAATGAATATTACTCATTCCAAGTTCCTTTTTCATAAAGTTAAAGTACTTTTTAAATCAAAAAGTGGGTTTAGTGAAGTTGAAGTTCTGTTCAAATTTTAACCAAAGAGATATTTTAACCTAGCAGCTTTTTCTCCATACAAAAACATTCTCCCCCCACAGAGGTACCTTTCAATTGTATAATAACAGGGCACCTCCACTGTTTTATTAAGAATTCAGCCACTTTTCATATACATTGTATCGATTGCATAGAAAATGTAAGAGGAATGCATGTTGCATGTATTCCAGCAATACGAAACTTTCTTTATTCCAAACGCCGGACAACAGGCGATGAAAGGTTCTTTCTGCCTCTTAATATTTAACAGGATATCGATGGCACGCTCAGGGCATTCCTTATTCAATGCAACAGAGCCGACCAACACACTCACATTTCTTCCTTGCCCCTCTAATGGTTGCCATTTGACACCCACAGTAGCCAACTTATCCAAGACACAACAGCCCAATGGAAGAGTAATAGCACAGCCAACACAAGGAGAAATTGTGTTTGCCTATAGCCATCAATATACCCCATCCATGGCAATGTTAAACGTTAAGTCCTCTATCCCCCCCGAAGGACATTTTGTTATTTGACAGTTTTGACGAAACGCTGACCTAAAACGTCGGAAATTATCTAATAATGGGGTTAATCGCCAATAACGATCGCTTCTGGGCAAGGTAAATTGTCTGTTAAACATGAATGCAGGGAACTAGCTATTACCATTATACTCAGATGTGTGTGGAATGGCTGGTCTTTTTTTTCGAATTTAACCATTACATTGTACAGCTTAAGGTTATAGGGCAGACAGGATATGTCAAAGTACTAAGGAATATTAGAATATTACAACAAAGGGCAGAAAATATTTGTTAGAAACAAATACTGCATGTCTTAAGTGGAATGAGAGACTATAAAACTTTTAAATATTTTCAAGGCTAACAAATAGTTAAAACTAAGAGCTAACAAATAGCTAAGAGCAAAAGCAGCTAGGGCCTTCAGCTCAGCTTAAGCTAGAATATGGCTTGTGAATGTTTGACTTATACTCATAAGACAAGATATTATTAGGGATTACTGTTTACATTTTATTTACAAAAAATTTGATTTAGTTAGATTTAGGAGGTGATATGGAAGTTGTTTAGGAATTTGAGGATGTTTATGGAGTTTGTTTCTGTGGGGTTAGCTATGGTGATGATTGGATCAGGATTATAGAGGAATAAGGATCTTTGCGTGGAAAGGGAGGGGCAGGAGCAAATAATGTGGTGGATGTCTAGGATATCTAGGACATGTTGCATAATGGGCACACGTTGTTCCTTGTTCTGTCGAGGTAGTGGGCGTTTGTTAAGAATGAGTGTCCTAGTCTGAGGCGGGTGATGATGGTTTGTTCTCTTCTGTTTAGGGGGGAGTTTTTGAGGGGCTGGGTAGAAATTGGCCATTAAACATAAGTTATTTTTAGTAATTTACTAATGCTAAGGTAAAAGGTTTACATTTTTGTTTTTCAAATATTAATGTAATAATGAATCCCATAAACACACCCAGAAATCTAAGCTTAAATGAGCTATTAACACATTAGGCACTTAATTCTTGTGTTAAACATAAATGTTTTTCCTCCAATTATAAGCGTATTAAAGGCAAAATAATTTACCAAACATTCAAATGCTTGGAAACATGAATAAACTAGCAAAATGTGGAAATTACTTTAAGCATATTTGTTAACAAAAAGTATTTTCCCATTTGCAAATGCTCATATTAAAACCATAATTATCATAATTTTCCAGCAAAATGTTTCATTATTTTCTCTTTTGGCTAGTCTAGACCTATCAAATGACCAATTAAGAGCTTTATGCTCTCTTGTTAGCCACCATAAATGAGACACAATAATTAATGTTGTCAAGCATATTGTTTCTAATGGTTTTTCACCTAACTTTGAGCTGACTTAAGACTTAATAATTAACTAAGCTTAAGGTTTTTTAATGGTTATGTTCCCCATATACCTTAAAGAAAGTAAACTCAAACTGCGATTAATATTTAAGATGCATTTTTGATTGTCTTTACTTTGGTTTAACCACTTTTTTGTCTGCGGTCAGCTAAAATGGGTCTTGCACTTGTCCAGGTCGTATAATTTTCACATCATTGAGAACGTTTTGACTTGGCTGTCTGTGTTGGCCGGGCCAACGCTCATTAAGCTTAATTCGCTGGGAATCAAATATTTAAGAGATAACCCAGATTGAGAAAGGGAATCACGCGTGTGTGTGTGAGTGTCCTGCGAAGGCTGATTGAAACTGACACCCGAGGCACTTGCACCTTCGAATGGTTGGAATATAAAATGGCAGGGGAGGCGAAATGGAGGAGGAAACGCAGGACGCCACGGCATGTCCTGTGCTCTGCCGCTATCCTAACGAGCAATTTAGCCAACTCATTGAAGCGGAATTAATGGCAATCGATTTTGTTTGGCGGTCGGCAGACACAGCCTCGGACGAGGCGAGGCGAGATGGGGAAAGAGTCTTCATTAGTCGCAGGATAGCAGCAATCCAGAATCCAACAGGACATGCCCCACTGGCCCCTTTCAAGTCCGTGTTTGTCTTAAAGCCATCATCTCTCGTATTCTCAATTATTTTTAATCGTTTAAGGAGATGTTAAACCATTATGCGGTTGCAAGATGCTGGGAAAAATGAGCTTAGATGTATTTTTATAACTTTATCTATCTAATTTTATCAGTTTTTTAAAATAAAAATAGTTATTAAGAGCCCTCTAGCTCAACTTTTATAAACACAAAGCAGAAATTTTGGAGACTTTCAAGTAATTATCCATTTTTGGAGACCATTAAAACAAATTTAAGTCCCTTGACAAAACGCAAACACTTCCTTCCTCCTTTTAGCTTATAATTTAGGGCAAAACTTCTGCTGGTTCTTGGAAATGGGGAAAATATTTTGCCCAAATGTTTCAATCAAGAACTCAGTCAAATGTTAACACTTGCTGGACTTGTCCAACTTGTGCGTTTTCCCCCTTTTTTGGCCATCACTTTATATAGTATATATAGACTTATCCCTCGCTTGATCATGGGATGAAACTTTTCATGTCTCGCGTGGCTTCGTTTTTTATTACGTTTGTGTGTGGGGTTATGCAAAAAGTTTTCCATAAATACAATTTTTGCTCTTTTCAATTTTTATTTGCAGCCAAATCGAGAAGGATAAACTTTTCTGGCCCGCTATGCCCAGGAATCATGTGGTTGCGAGGAGCGCGGCCGTAGCTATAGATATAGATTCTGATTCCGCCGATTCAGATATAGATACGAATACAAATTCATTTGGCTCTCGTGTTGAACATGTGCCAAAGCTGCGGGCTGCTTGGAGCTGACTCTGGTAAAACCGCGACGAGGGCGACGATGCTACTTGATTTTGGCCAACTTAAATAAACAGGCGAGGCGTTAGCACATACACACAAACACCAAACACCACCACCCACTCAATCACTGACACAGCCACAGCCGCAGCCGCAGCCAAAACAAACAAATAAACTAGGCAGTAACCCAGCGAGCACATCCCGGAAATGGCCGCGCCCATCGACGAGAGCGTGCTGAATGCACTGAGGGGCGTGACCTCCGCCAACACTCGCCTGCCCAAGCCGCTGCTCATCAAGATCTACGTGGCCAGCCTGAAGCAGGAGTTCAACCAGGAGCGTCGCATGCTCCTCGAACTGGTGGGCCCGGAGCTGCAGACCCTCTACGATGACCGACAAATCGAGGTGGGTATTCGGAAGTTGGTCATTAACAGGGAGATGGGATAACAAAATGAGACCTATCATCATTACATATCATTGGTTTTCCTTTTTCCTACCCCAGCTTGAGTTCGTGGACATGCACTTTGGCACTGGCGAGCTGGAGGTCAACCAGCTGGAACGTGATCCTTACTTGATCCATGACTATCTGCATGAGATCGACACCTGCCATGCCCACACGAAGAGTGTCTTCTTTATGGTGCTCGTGGGCGATGGCATCGGTCGCCAGCTGCTGCCCACGCATATAGATGAGGACATCTTCTCAGCAGTCCTGGCCGATCAGCAAATCACGGCTGACCATGAGGCATTACTGGTTAAATGGTATGAAAAGGATGAATCTCAGTCGAGCAGAAAGCTCAAACAGGACTATCGGTGAGTTTAATTTGGTTTAAAATGTTGTTAGTTTAAAAAATAGAAGAAACAAGTTGAGAAATATTGATGGGTGGCGTGTGTCCCCATAAAAAGTAACGCCAATTTAGTTTAGTTAGCTTTTTTAGCTTCATAATCCGAAATGCAAACTGCAACCGAAATAGTTATGGACAAAGTTGGGCAATATTTGTCAAAGTTCCGTTTCCGTTCCATTGTCCCATGTTTGAATGAAATTATCCATGTGCCACTTTCGCTTTGTTTGGCAACTCAATCGAAGCTGAACTTTGGCAAATATTTGGCTGGGGCGGGAATGGGAATGGGTTGTGGCAGAGTAGATATGGAAATGCCAACACTTGATTCGACATCTGGATTTTGTCCGCCAGTTATTGATTAGCTTTGCGTTTTTTTTTTCTTTTCTTCCTCTATCAGGCTGATAGCCTTGGATGCCTGGCTAGCTGAATCACAGCAAATGCAAAGCTTACTAGAACGATCCTTGCAATCCCTGGTCCAAGGAGCCAGTACTTCAGGACGGTCGGCGGATTTTGTGGAACGTGTTCAGCTTTTGCGACGTACGCAGATCGAAAGGGAGGTCTCACAGGCTATGGGTAAGTCAGATTGCTATTATAATTAGATTTATTAATGTTTCTTATTTATAAATAATTTCTTTCATCAGCTCTTACTAGCGAGAAAATCCTGGCCGTTTTTCGAGAAAGAGCTGCCCAGTGCAGCAAGCGGGATGTGGAGGCAAATGAAAGGTTAAGGAAAATCAAGGACGAACTTACCATGAACCTCTCCACGGATAATCACACGACTCTGGTGTAAGTTTTGTATATACATAAATGAAATAAATGAATAAAAATGAAATAAACCAAAAAAGATAAACTGTAAAGTTGATAGTTAAAATGGCTCCCCATTCAGTGATTAAATATATTACTCTCTCTTAGCTAAAAGAATTTAAGTTAATCACTTTTCATAAGCTGAAAAAGTTTCATTTTGATAACTTTTGCCAACTCTGAATAAAAGGGATAAAATGCATCAAGCAAAGTGCATGTAAATTAAAAAATTAAACGCTTTTTTGCTAAAACAAATAACTAAAAGGGCATTAAAAAGTATTTATCAGCAAAAGTAATAAGCTTTTTATAAAAAAGAATTTAAAACAAACAAAAAAACCTGCTGACATGAAAATATTACATAAATAGTTATCCATATCTACTTTATTTTCAAATGTAATTTTAAATAATTAATAATGAAATGTAACTTTAAAGGAAATCTGATATCGTAATAGGTTCTTATGATATTAGTATACATATTTTCTGAAACGTAACTTTTCTTTCCGTCACAATAGTTGACTATTTTAACCCACCGCCAATGTAATTGCTAACCTAAACTGAGATTCCTGATTATGATTGCTGGCTAATTAAGGTTATTACCAAAATTTCAGTGTGCCTGGCAGTGCTGCCAGCGAGGCCATCGACCCGGACAACGAGGACCACGAATCCTACCTGAGCAAGTTCAAGAACAAGGTCACCGACAAGCTGCGCCTGCTAATCGAGGCGCACATAACCAATGATCCCGACGTAATCAAGGGGAGGAAAAAGACTGTGCAGGTGAGTCCACATTAATACAGCGGACAGGTAACAAAACGCTTTAGGCCGCGAATTAAATTAAATGTATTTCTCAACGCCTATCACCCCACCCACAAGGAACATTCCCTCACTTCTCTAAACCGCTGACCGCTTATTTAATCAACAGCAATTCTGATTGTTATTTGTTGATGGTTGGCCAGCGGCTGAAACTGAAAATCATAAATTAATTCCATGAATTAAGCCCAGACAATGGTGGCAAGAACATGGCCTTTATGATTCTGCGTTACCATGTTTTTTACATGCCTTTTTGTTGGGCTTTTCTTGGTGTTTCCCCCTCATTGCTTATGGCTACGCATATTGACCGTGCCACAAAGTCTCGTGTTCTTGGCTAATGGCTGCGTGTTAATTAAATGTTTGGCATGTGGCAGGTAAATTAAACTTCAAAGGAGGAAGTTTGCTAAAAGAAATATTTAATAGATAGATAGATATAAAAAAGAAACCATTAAGTTGAAAACAAATTCTTTTATCAGACTTTAGATAAATGGGAAATTTGAAGTTTGCAAATAGTTTCAGCCATAAAGTTGTCATCTGCAGAATAATTCAGATTTAAAAACGAAAATAAAAACAAAATGCAAGCCACTCTTGACAAGTTCTAAAAGGAATATTTGAAAATAAAAACTAGTTAAAGATTCTCTTTATGCCAGCTTTTACCTGAAATACATATGTTCAGATTTTTGTTTGTCAATTGGAAATTTCAGGAAAATCCAACTGAAAATGCTCGTGTTCATGTCCTTCTCATATATACAGTTGTGGGCATTTTAATAGGCTTTCCTATTGAATTAACAGTTAATAATAAAAATATATTTAGTTAAGTTTTTTAGTTCTTTCCTTTCTTGCCCTCCTTACTACTCTTAACTTACTCTTAATTTTCCTTTATCACTGCTATTACTTTGCCCACCACTGTACTTGTGTATGTGAGCCCAAAAGGATGCTCGAAATAGTATGCTTTGCATATGACAGTTGTCGAAATTGAGTTTATAAGAGATTTCCGGCAATAAAAACCAATTGAAATCGAGTTGGCCCAAAAACGGGCAAATGGCTAAGGAAATCGTTTAGCTCAAGGTTGGCGCCCGCTGTTCTCAGCTCTTTTAGAGCTCCACTCGGATCGCCTTCCGTTCCAGTTGCGGTTTTCTGCATGGCTCTGCATTGCATAAGTTCACTTGCCGCCACTTTCCGCCTTCTGTTGCAATCCCTTCTTCCATCCCCCTTTCCGACCCCCTTACATGCCACCTCTTGTTGGCTTTTGTTGAAAGCATTTAACATTTCAGCTCGGTCGCAGCCGAAGGACGAGGCGTAATGCGAACTGGTCGCTGCCATTAGCGGGCGAATGCAAGTGCTGCACTCGACAAATTTCTGGCCTAAAAAAATGGGCTATAAAAGCTAGCAAAAACAGCTTTCAATTTGTTTGAAAAAGAGTAGATTTTTTTGACTATCGTTTAAGAGGTTAAGCTTGTTTGAAATTACAAAAAAGGGTCGACGGGTTTTTTATACACAAAAAACTAGAAAATAAGATTAAGCAAAAACAAGGGCCAAATATTTTAAGCCAGAAAGCCTATAATATTTTTTATATATTTTTTTAACGTTTAAAAATATGTTTGCCTTAGTTTTTTTCTTCATAATTTGTTGGGTAGTTAACATAGTCACTGAAGAATTTACAATAATTATGTTAAGTTGATGATACTTATACAGGGTGGCCTATGTAGCGTTTGCTTTTTGAACTTCAATAATTTTGACTTTGAAATTTCGAATATCATTGTCAATGTGTCAGATATTTAGTAGAATGTTTGCGGTTTATGAAATGATTAAGCTTACGCTCAAAGAAAATTGGGAAATATTGATATTTTTAAAACGATTTTAAAACACAAAAATCGATTAATATTATTTTTATCTGAATAATTTCCAACTTAACCCAAATTAGATTTTCATTTAGAAAATATGTTTAGTGTATTAGCAGCGATTTCCAGTTACCAGTTGACGACTCACTGCAGCAAGCTCATCCAGCCTCGCCTTCGTAATTTTCTTTTCACGGCTTGGCTTGGCTTCCTCAGTCGCCCTCCTCCTTTGCCACCGCCTCTGACATATTAACACACTTACACTTGGGCACAATGTAGCCACGCCCAGCCAGGTCGTCCCTTGTTTGCACTTAACGATGCAGCAACGTAAACTGCATTCAGGCCCGGTCAACATCTCATGCCATTCGGTATTTTCCCCCACTACTCACCCACCGATGCGGATAAAAGTGTTGCAAAGGCAAAAACCCATCTGCCACCCACCTCCAACTCCTCCCTTACAGGCTTTGACAAAATGTTGTGGCATTCGTTGCCGCAACCAAGAAATATGCAAAGTATGAAGCCCCCACTCCTACAGCAGTACACCTACACCATAATCCTCACCTGGTGCAACACGTCGTATGAGCAACCCTTCCTAATGCTTATATCTGCGTGTGTGTGTGTCTGTGTGAAGCTGTGGCACTCGACTGAAATGAAATTAAAGCAAGTCAAATGCCAACTAATTAAGCGGCAACTGAGGTAGCTTTAAGAGGTGGCAAGCGGTAAAGGACACAAAAGGCCATCAGACAGCTTCTGGCTGTATTGATTCGTTAGTCGTGTCACCAAGAAATGCATTACGCAGATGCTGTCAAATGAGATTTGCAAAGCAAAAGCCGCTTACTGCTAGCAAAATGAAAAAAAGAAGAAGGAAGTGGCATAAGAGACTCCTTCGCCGACTCAGAGTCAGTCTGAGCCCGAGATCCTGACAAGGACAGTATGACTACTTGTTAGTGGCAAACATGACATCGCCAGACAAGGTGAATGACACTCGCCGAAAATTGGGAGTTTTTTTCGTGTTGAAAATCATAAATTTACACTGGAATTTTTAAGTTTAAAATCTCCTTAAAAAATATTTTAAATATAAAAAGTATATATGGAAAAAGTCTTTAATTTTAAATAATTTTCTTAAAATCTTTATCTTTTTTTCCATAAAAATGTCTTTCAGTTACAGTTTACTTTTACATAGCTCCCCCTTTTCGCACAACCCTTTATTAGTGTTTATTTTGCAATCAAAAGTTCTTAATTTTTTGTATAAACTAAAATAAAAGGGGGAACACGGAATTAAGCTCGGGAAGAACTATATTTTTAGCATTTAGTGAGTTTGTTTTTCCAAGTACAAACCACTCAAACACCTGCCCAGCAGGTGGGCGAGGGTTATGGCAAAGGCAAAGGCAAAGGTAAACAAAGTTACGTGGCAAACACAGTGAATGCCACTCACTCGCATTCAGAATGATGGGGATACTGATGCTGATGACGTGGTCTGTTGGTCTTGGTCGGTAGAGCTGTGGCACTGTGGCAACTACGAACGGAAGCGGGCGACACTTGGCAATACATGTGCGACTTTATTTTATTTACTGACATCCCCGGAAAGGTGTGAGTAAGAGAAGGACCTCTTAGAGGTCACATCACAAACGGAAGGAAGCTGGGTCCGAGATGAATGGCTAAAGGAGGTGGATTGAAATGACACTGGTCTCAGGGATGTGGCTAACAGGGTGGGGCATGTGGCAGGTGGCTGGCAAATCCAATTACGGACAAACCAAAACGAGCTATACAGTTTGAAAACATTTCAAATACGAGTAATATTATATATATATTTTTCTATGCAAATGATACTCATATGCCTGCAATCAAAAATAATTACATTTGGCCAAAAAAAAAATACAACTGACCTTGTTGAAAAACTGACTGCGACACATTCGAAGGATAATTTAAAACATATTTAACGCATTTAATAATTATTCCTACATATGTCTGTTTAACTCCTGAAATCAACTCATTAATTTGATATATATGTTTGTAGGAACATTGAAAAAATGGACTGCCAATTATATTGATTTAATTTCATACGTGTCGCATGTGAGTTTATAATTGATAATTGCAGATTGCCATCACATGGTAATTAAGCATGGAATTCAATTTCCATTTCACACACTCAAGTTGAGGGAAATGTCTAATTGAGGAGTACAAATCAATATTAGTTTGAAATAGAAACTTTAACTTAAAAAGAGGAAGACTTGAGCATAATTTTAAGGCATTATTTAGCCATAAAATAAAATATTTCTAACTCAACTTATATATTTCAACCTTCCTTTTCAATTCCAGGAAATCTTTCACGAGCACGCCACGCATTTGCGCATCCTGCGGGAGCACACGGACAGTGCCGCTCTGTTGGAATCGCGGGTGCCCCAACAGCTTCGCCAGAATCTGATGGCCAACTTTCGGAATGGCAGTCGGCATGCCCCGTACTTTCTTTGCGGTGCAGATGGCAGTGGCAAGAGCGCCATTCTGACCCATTTATACGGACAGGTGGGCAGTTGGTTTGGCTCCACTCGCGTTCACCGGGTGATCCGTTTTGCCAAGGCCACACCTCGTTCCGCCTACAATCTAGAGTTACTTCGCGTGATTTGCCAGCAGATCTCTATAATCTTTAACATACCAGAAGGCTATCTGCCTAAGGACGCCTCCTTCGATCCGCTGTACATCAATACCTGGTTCCAGAATCTTCTGAGAAGGGTTGAGGACATGGGCAATGATGTCCTGTTCCTATTCATTGACGATTTGCACTTGCTAAATCCCTTGGACTGCGATATTGTTACAGCTCTTTCATGGCTGCCCACCTCGTTGCCCTGGAATGTGCAGATCATCTGTAGCTCAACCACACCCGTGGAGCAGCTGAAGTTCACTCCGATGCAGCGGGATCGGTTCAAGTCCGCTGAGTACCAGTTCGATTTGAATCTGGGTGACCATGCCACCCGACTGAAGATTCCGCCACAATGCATTCCGGGAGATGTGAGCTTTGCCCTGTATGTGGAGCAGCAGTTTGACCAATTGGAACGACATTATGGCCGACAGGCAGTGGGCGATCTGGCCTCCTACATCACCTGCTCGGAGTATGGACTGAGTGAGACGGAACTGCTGGAGCTTCTCATGCCCACCGATGATCCAGAGTCGCTCATTGAGACAAAAAATGGTCAGTTCAGCTTTGCCACCTTCAAGAAGATTCACCGGGAGATGGGTGAGTAATGGATGAAAATTATGGATAAGGATTATTGATTAAACCAGAAATAAAAGATAATACTCATCTAGATATCCTATTTACTATATCTTTATTGTTAAAATCTTACAGATCTGTTACTCCTCCTGCACGACAAGATTATGTCCGGCAAGGTACTCATCCAGTGGCGGCACAACTATTGCTCGGCGGTGGCCAAGCGGCGGTACATGGACGTCCAAAGGACTCGCAGCCTGCACTGTGAACTGGCCAATCTGTTCTTTCCACAGGACGAGGACGAAAGCACCCTGGAAAACGAGTCGAATCGCAGTGAGACCAAGTCGGTGATCAGCCTGAAAGACCGTGAAAAGGATTCCCTATCGGCAATGTCAGCTGTTTCCGCAGGCCGAAAGTCATCGTCCACTCATCATAATGATGACACCTCAACCTTCTACAACCCCATTGCCGCTGATGTTAGCTATAGTATGCGTCATGTGGAGGAGAGCTGGCATCACCTGATGCGATCCGATGACACCACCCGTTTCAAACAGATCGCTGTCTGTAATTTTGACTTCCTGCTGGCGGCGGTAAGCTCACCAATTAGTTACGTCCCGTGGCATGATTTCCCAGCTGGAAACGCAATCAGTGGTATCCAGCAGTGAGTTCCTCTTAATTGCCGGGCTAATTTGGCAATCAAACTGACAGTCTTCCGCTTTTACATGTCAAAATTTAGCACCAGCCAAATGGGCACAAAGTTAATTTGTGCATTCAAAGGGACAGCTGACGAAGTGAAAGCTTCTAACATAAACTAAACTATGGGGAAAAATGGTTGATATATATCGTTGATTGTTCTCTCAGTCAGGCAATGAATGAAATCATTGAATGGAAAAATTGGACTTGGTTTGTTGGTAGTGGGAACTTAGTTAGAGAAGCTAAGTTAAAGGGAAATATTATAAATATTTAGCAACCTTTGGTTACCTTAAACTTCTTTGAAAGAAACTGAAAAACTTATTTTTCTTTCTGTGCCGAAAATAAACTCGATTGCAACAAATCCCCAAAGCTGTCGAAACAGTTTGATAATTTTAATTGAGAACGACAGGCGGATAGACAGCCGTAGTCGAGCCCAATGAAAGGCTCACAGAAGTATAATGTGATAATGAAATTAGAGCGGATATTCGAAGGACACAGCCCGGCTGCTTTCGTTCCCAAAAAGCAAAATTCAGGCAAAAGCTCTTACAGCTGTTGGCTCTTTTAATTCGCTTGCCTAATTGTTTCGCTGCAGTTGGCCATTTGCTATTATTTCCTGATCCCCGATAGCCTGATTCCCGTCCTCGGGCTCTTCTGCTCATTTAATTTCATTCCATTCTGTTTCATTCAGTCCGGGGAAAACTCATTATTTGGCTCTCGAAAGTATGCAATTAAACTTTTGTGACTCCCTGAGCATGTGTGTATGTGTGTGTGTGAGGGGTTTTCTTTCTGTGAATTCCAGCCAATCAAATTAACGATTTTGTTTGTTACTTTTTTTATCCTTTTTTGGTAAATGAATTTTCTGATACATTTTTAACTGCCAATATTTGCATTCCCGACGGCAAACATGGCAGCCGTTCATAGTGAAAATGAGAATTAAAAATAAATAAAATATAAACCATTTTGCATATAATTAATGTCAAATCAAAAACTGTTTCAGTTTCCGTTTCATCGATTTAAGACTCCTTAAATAGTTGTTGTTAATAAACTTGAGTTTTAAACTGAATATTAAACTTGCTTAAATTAATGGTCTTTGTGTATGTTCTAACCAAATGAACTTAAAAACTATTTGAATGCCAAATATTTTCTTAGTTGTAGAAAGAAAATTAAACAGACAAATTCCTAGAAGAGGTTAGAAAATGTTTCCTTTTTCCTTTTCAAGCAAACCTGTGATTTGTCCTATTTAATAAACTCTGCTTTGTTGTCTCTCAAAAGTCAGAGGCTGTCAAGCCTTTGAAAATACACTTTGGTTTAGAAGCCAAGTACTTGACATGAAAACACAAGGGTTACGTTTCATTATTAAATGTGAATTATGCTTTGGCTGAAGTAGTATTGTCAACTATAAAATGGTAATCATTAAGACATTCATTGCTTTATGATACTTAATCAGAAACTCTAGAGAATATCTGTCTAACATAGAGGTAAGCCCAAAAATAGTTTCATTATCAGTCCTTGATTATGTATAAAACGTTTGTTTAGATGATATTCAAACCCTTACGTTCGTTGTAAGCTAAGAAATAATAACTAGAATCATTTTAAATCTAAATTCCAGGTCCAAACCGTGTCCATCAGCTACCTGCGCTGCCTGATCGAGCATGTGCGTTGCTACATTCTGGACAGGGACATCGAGCTGATCTACTACACAATCCGAAAGTCGAGTGATGTTCTTACCCGTGATCCCATGCAACTGGGATCCCAGCTGATATCCTGGCTGCGTCCAATTAGCGAGCATGATGATGACGACAACTCACTGCTAAGCATGACAGTCCGCTCGGCGACCGCCTGGTGTGATGGCTATGCGGTACCGCTTCTAGTACCGCTCACCGGCTGGCTGCCTGCCCCGTTGCCCTCGCAAATTCGCACAATGACAGTGTCCGGAACGGGTTGCATTCGAGCCGTTTGGCTGGCTCCGACAAAGCAACATCTCATTCTGGCCACCAGTTCCGGCGAAGTGCAGCAGTGGCACATCATGAGCAACTCGCTGGAGCACATCTTCAAGGGTGAGTAGAGAGTAATGGTATTATCTGCCATTAGATGAGCTAATCTCCTCTGCCTTCTTATATTGCAGGACACACTGCGGCAGTCACGTGCCTCCTGGTGGCTCCCCAGTCGGAGTCGGAGTTACTGCTGACCGGCTCCGAGGATGCCACTGTTCTCGTGTGGCACGTAGCTCTCCGCGAGCGTAGGGCACACATTAAGTAAGTACACTGGAGAAAAAAAGAGAGTTATTGTTTAGAGAAAAAATGTTAAAAGCTTCAACTTTCTTCATCTTAAATACTTTTCCTTCTGAGATCCTTCTCAAGATAATAACAAAACTTAAGATTTAGGACTTGCCCAGCTTACCTACTTTCTGACTTAGGAAGCATTTTGCTTTTTTAATTTCCGGAGTATATCCTTGATTTATAGTCCTCATATATATATCTCTGTGTAGAAGGACTTCGCCTCGTCTCTTTATCGCTACCATTTTCCCATTCGTCGCCTTAAGCGTAATTTGTAAATCTCTGCAGGCGCAATTTATCTAAACATCCACCGCTTCTTCGTTTATCCTAGCAACGCCCACACGGCTCCCATTACGGGCGTGGCAGCTGGCGTCAATAACACGCTCATCATAAGCAGCAGCGAGGATGCAACCATCGCCATCACGGACCTGGCCAGCGGCAAACTGGTAAGCAAACAGACAGAATGGCCACCCCCCACCATCAGCCATATATGTTGGGGGTTTCATTTGGAACTTAATGGGTGCCGTAATGGTCATTTTCAGCGAATTAAAACCCAGACAATGGAGACTATATAACTTTTCAAGGGATTTTTATGCATGGTAATAAGCTAATTTGAAAAGGTTTTATGCGATGGTTAAACTTATGGGTAAACTACAGTTTATGTTTTAAGGATTATTACAGAGTTTGTCATATTTTTGGTTGAGCATAAATTCTTAAATTTCTCACCTTTTAACTTAAATTTGAAATAAGAGATTTTTATGACAGCCTTTAATTAAATGTCAGCTTTCCCAGAGGCAACAATGCAACGTTATTTCTGTTCCAACAATTAGAACAAAGACAACAGACTTGTCCAGAATTCAGACAGGCAAAAAGACAGCCTTATTGTCTTGACCAAAAATATTTCTGCCTCTCTTGTTTATTCTCAGCAATTCGAGCAATTTGCTTGATAAATTTAGCATACTCCATAAACTAACAGTTAGTGAAAATCTTCCCACCAGAAAAAGACTAGTTTATAGCCTTAAATAAAATATTTCAATTTCACACATTTATTTCAATTTCTGGTAATTGGAATCGATTAGTTTTGTCCCATGTAAATGAAAATCAAACAAACACTTTTGTTTGCTTTTATAAATTATTTTTAGAGTCGCATTTGAAATGCATCGAACGCTTTCCCAAAAATTTTCCGATGGGCAGGATGGTGGCAATGAAAAATGCATTTGCCGAAGCTAATTGCAAAACCTAGCCGCAAACCAGATCAAACAGACCGAATGCATTTGCATAATTTCTCTGTGCCAAATAAATTCCGCCTAACTATGGTACAGCCTTTCATCAAACAGAAGGCACAAGGTCATTGTGGCAGTGGGTGTGGGATGGTTGGGTTGGGGTTGTGGGGTAGCAGAGAAGGGTTTTGGTCTCAGCCATCTGGCTGACATGTGTGTGCTACTCGTTAAACATGGGTTTACACATTCCGCGGCCTGGCAAATGAACCGTGGCAGGGGGTTGCCGGTGCTGCTGTCCTGCCCCCCACCCATTTTCCTCACTTTTCCTACCCGCACCATAAGTCATACTAAGTTGATATTTCAGAGACGCGCACATTAAACTGTGATTACCCACAATGCGCCATGTTTGCATATCAAGTGTGGGTGTATGTGGATGTGTGTGTTGGGTGAAAACACCGTGTCCTTGTTCTCGTCCTTGTCGTCGTCCTGTTGACACACATATAGAAATTAGATTTATTGCCACTCGGTTGGCCCCGGGCATATTTTAAAGTCAATTTCGCTGACTGGGCTGCTGCAAGCCCTTAAGGATTCTGTTCTACGCGCCTCTAGGCAAGGGTGCAATACTCTTCATTTACGACCGGAAGTGCCACACACACACACGCACTCACACACACACCTGCAATTACGCGCACTTATTGAATTAATTACAATATTACGTATACGCCGTGACATGTCGGCATTTCCATTCATGTCGCCACCGCTTCTTCATTTTCATTTTTTTTTTCCATTTTTTTTTTGGTGTGTAAAGTCCGGGTAATTTATCAAACTTTTGGCATTTTCCGCTGTCGGTTCCTGGGAAAGGGGAAGCTCGCATGCTAGGTGGTAATTAACTTAATGCATACCAAATGTGACAAACAAAAGGTGGCACAGAAGAGAGAGAGCGGAAGTTAAGGCAAAATTGAGGGTAGCACATGCGACACGCAAGCCAAGTCAAAGTCAGTTGGTAACAAAGCCAGCCATTTCCACTGCCAGTGATTAATATTTAAAATCCCTTCGTTTAGCTGAAACTACAACCGAATGGCGTTCGATGAGCATAGATGATAAAACTGCTGTCCTTTTGGGTAACAAATATTTTATTTAGATAAAGAACAAAGGTCGCTTATAGGGACTTTGGGGATTTGGAAGTATTTGCTTTATTTAGTAGGGGAATCAAACTTAAAAAGAATGAATTTTTCATTTAATTATTATGATAAGATTCGGTTTTGGCTAGAATCTGTATTATTTTGTATCTCTTTCATACACTTTTACCATTTTTCAAACCCAAATATTCCAATCTTCCTTCCAGAGACATCGCATAACCCATCACCGCGGGCCGGTGAGTGGAATCCTGGTGGCCGGAGCTTGTGATGTCCTGATCTCGGCAGGTCACGACAGGAACATTTGTGTATGGGACTTGGAGAACTTCACCCTGCTGAACACCATGCAAATGCCAAGTCCCGTCCTGCGTATTGACATTTCCTGGAATTCGGTGAGTATCCTATTTTATGCCCCAAAAAAATGAATGGCAAAGAAGGATCCTTGTAAGCTTAAAACCAGGAAGTGCATCCTTGGTGAATTCTCCACATACTCCCAGCCGTACATTATGTGGCTTTTCAAATTTAACGTAACAAACTTTTTTGCAAAGACAAAAGTTGAGTCCTTAAGGGGATTTCCCCGCTCAACATGCTCAGCTGAAAAGCTTTAAAAGAAATTCCTGCGTTCGAGACAGAAAAATATAATAAAAAGCAACAGAGAGAACACGGAGAATGCCAAGCTTTAAGCCATATTCCACTTGAGTGAAGCGTCCCCAAGTAACCCAATAACGAAAAGCGCAATTTAAGGAAACATAAACGCTAGAGACGACATCGAATAAGAAAAGGAAAGTTTAAAGCGAAACACACAATAGATGGACGAGAGCGAATAGATTCGCTGAGATATGACAGATAAAGCATGGTGACTTGGCAACTACGGGTGGTTTTTCCTTCCCATTTGGGGGAAATTCTAATAAGTGATTCCCGGCTTGGAGACGCATTACGCGCCAAATCCTTTGTTGTCAATCAGCTTGACAAAAAGCCAGATATGTGTGTGAACGTGTGTATGTGTGGGTTCGTGCCTGCCTCTATCAATAAGTATTGCATACTTAGCAGCAATTTGGCACGCAAAATAATATCAAGATACCGTCAGGGAACTCCTGCGACTCTTGCGACTCCCCCCCGACATTGATGTGCTTTGTCAATGGCAACTGTGCTTGGTCCCCTCATCTCATCTTGTCTCACCCATCCTCCCATTCTCAACGACTGGCAATTGATGCGTGCTTCCACTTGCCTCTCGCTCCTTAAGCTTCTCCTCATCTATCTGGTTCGCTTCAGCAAATCCACAATAGACAGACAACAGGAAAAAGCCACTGTAATTCAAGGTGCGTCGGCCCTGCAGCTCCTGGCTCAAGGGAATCTCCTTGGATAACACAAAACAGCAGTCAGCAGTTTGTGCACTTAGAAAAAGCAATAGAAAAAACTTGCATGTAACTTGCAACTTAATCATAAGGCTAATACTAACTATCTTAGTAAACAACTTTACATGTAATCTTACAATAAAGTTGCATAGTTTTCTTCAGATAAAAGCTTATTTTCCAAAGTAAATATTGCCACTAAAATATAAAAACACTAAAGCCTAAGAATTTTAAATTCAAAAATGAAAAACTAACATTTTTCCAAGTGCCTCAGCTTTCTCGAGTTTCAGCCAGTTGAAGAAAACTGAAAAGCCAGAGACAAAGAAAAAGATAGACCAGGAGAACGATTCAATTACCATTGGACTTTGGGTGGGCTCCTTGAGATCGAAAAACACGGTGATGTCCTCTGCCAGCCAACGAAAATACAATTTCACACATTAAACAAAAGTGCTGGCGAAAATTGAGGGAAAATTGCCTATAAGCAGGCGGAAAAATTGTTTCGCGATAACAAGGACATATCCGGTTGGGCGGGACTTTTCCCTTACCCAAAATTGAAATGTAATTTCACACAGCCATGGGTACATATATATTCGCTGGGTATATAGAGTATATATATGTATATACATATACGAACACTTCAGTTTGTGGGGCAGGAGCCCCTTGGGCAGGGTTCTTAGCCAAGGAAAATGGCAAAAAGGAAATCAACTTTCTTGCTCTTTGGCCTGCATCCTGATGGCTTCGTGGCACGGCAGTGACCCAGCCAAACCCCGCCTTCTCTTCCCTTGGGAAAGAGCTTCCCTTAAATGGAAATGTTTCAGCCTCCCTGTCTCTGACCTGGGGAAATGCAATTTATTAATTTTCGATTACCTCGCCAACGGCCCTTAATGTCCCAGAATTCGATCCGCAATTGTGGCGAAAATTAATAATTAATCATTCTGAATGGCGAAAAAATTTCTTTCCTATCAGGAATTTTAAATTCGTTAATATTTGCAATGAAAGAAATATTTATAACTTATTTATGTTTTTAAATTAATTAAATGAGATGTTAAAGTTAAATAGGAAACTTTAAGATATTGATTACATAGATAAGTAAATGTATATCTGCTCCTTATTCTATACAACCCCATTTTACCCTCTTTTCAGGTATTTCTTCTGGCTTTGTGTGAGGATAATGCGCTTTATGTCCGCACTCTGGCCACCGGCAAAGAGCTACATACTCTCAAAGGGCACAAGTCAAAGGTGAGTTATGCTGTAGCCTCTTTTAGGTTGCTGATCCTTAATTTGGAATCCCCAGATCCGTACAATTTCGATTGGTAAGGATAGTCAGCGATGTGTGGTGGGCTGCGATGATACGCGAGCGTTAATCTATGACATGCACGCTGGAAAACTCGTAAGATCCCTGCCTCCGAATCCTGGACCAGTTACCGCTGTGCACGCCATGGATAATGATGATTTCCTGGTCACTGTGGGTGGAAATAAGATCACCTTCTATTCGTTCCGTAACGAGGAGCTCTATGTGAATCCCTACTCAAGACATCCGCGACGTAAGCGCAGCCTGAAACGTCATGCGCAGGCGCAACGATCGCCATCGACCACATTGCCACCAATAACCTGCTTCGATTTGTCCCGCGATTCCCAGCAAATGGCCATTGCCTCTGGACGGAGTGTACACCTTATGAGGATAAATACGCCCGAGTACCAATGCACTTTGGAAGGACACTCCGCTGGGGTATCCTGCCTGAAGTTTGCGCCGAATGGTGAGTTCCTAGCCACCGGTTCGGAGGATCGACTGGTGCTCATTTGGAACCTGGCTCTGGGTGAGATTAGTCATTCCTTTAAGGGTCATACGGCACCAGTGGTCAAGGTGGTTGTCCTCATGGACTCATTACGAGTAATCTCCACCGATCGGGATTCCATGCTCCTCGTATGGATGGCCCACTCGGGCAATCTGCTGCAGACCATCCAGGGTCCTTACAAAAGTCTGGCCGTGACCAATAATATGCGCTTCGCTGCCTCCACGAATGGGGATAACACACTCAAGATCTGGTCACTAACGCAGGAGGATGAGAAGTATTCCGTTTCGCATTCGGACGAGATCACCTGCTTCGAGATCAGCGCAGATAGTGCCCACATTATCAGCGGATCGCGGGATATGTCCTTGAAGGTGTGGCAGGCAACGGGCGGCAAACTTAGTCAGGTGCTGGTTGGACACAGTGATGCCGTAACCTGTGTGGCCGTTTCGGTGACCAACAAGACGCAGGTTCTGTCCGGTTCCAAGGACATGAATCTCATTATCTGGGACCTTCTCACTGGCGAGGAGGTGCATACCTTAGCAGGACATTTGGGTCCTGTGATTGGAGTTAAAGTATCGGCAGATGGTGAGTTGAGCTGTTCAAGGTATTATCTTTAAATACTAGTTTTCTATAATGGATATATGTTACTTTGATCCATATCTTACTTACCTTATCTTATCTAAAATCCCTTTCCCAATATACAGGTTCCACTGCCGTTTCTGGAAGCGATGACAAAACCCTGATTGTGTGGGAGACCAAGCGTGGATTAGCTCTTACCTCACTCCAAATGCATGTGCCCTTTACCCACTTTGACATTAGTCTGGAGGTGTCTCGAGTCCTGGTCCAGCTGGTGGACAGCTATAATCTCCCCGTGATCTGTTTGCACAACACCCCGGCGCAGTATGTTAAGCTGCCGACGTATTCGGGTCCCAGCAAGGATGTTGAGGGTAAGCTTTAATATTTAAACTCTCATGAATGACATATAGCTTCTCTATATAATTTTATGATATATCTTTACAGATCTTCGACCGCAAGGACCTAAACGCCAGATGAAGCGGCTGCTGAAGAAGGAGGTCTCCCTGGACACCTACACCTGGCAGAAGAAGTATGGCCATTTGACCTCCTCCGTGATGATGGCCCAGGTCGATGAGCGTCTGAAGCGGCGCTTTAGCGTTTCGGCCAGCATGGAGGAGATCTCGAAGATTGCGGAGAACAAGACTGGAGCTTCTCAGGCAAATCTCGGTCCAGAGCAGGCGGCTCTGGCCCAATCGCAGCACTTTGACCAACTGGAAGCCCTGTGGAACAAGCGATCACCGCCCAGAAGACGTCACAATGCGGTAAGTCATGGGTGTCCATGATAGTCTCACTCTCCCTTAAGTGGAAGAAGGACTTGGAAGGACCTTAGCTGCCGTTGGCTTTAGTGTGTGTAATCCTTTGGTACTCGTAGTAGATGCGCTCACCATTTTCGTTTTTGTTTCGTCTTCTTTCTTTTCGTTTCATTTCGCTTCGTCTCTGTTTGCTTACACACCAATCTGCAACGTGCAATATGCAATCTGCAACGTGCAATGTGCAACGCGCAACATATGAATCCACTTAACAGGGTCTCTCGAGGCAAACCTCGCTGGTGGAGGACAGGCTCGAATCGTCGGACGACGACGAGTACCAGGACGAGCGCGCAGGTATGTTGTCCGCCTCCTACGATAACATCCACCACCTTGCACGTTTGCCCGGCCTCCGATCCCTGCACGATGCATGGAAGACCAACAGTCTGCGAGTGCCCCGTCGCTCCGGTCGCACCAAGTTCTATGTGAGCACACCACCACCACAGAACTCGCAGGACAGCAGCCGCCTGCAGCTGGACGACAGGCACGAACCCGGACAGTGTACAGATGAGACGGTGGCTCCTGACCTTGTCAGGGATCTCCTGGTGGCCTCAACCACTTTAGAGTCACCGCAAAGGATCTCTCTGCGGCAATTGCTCCATTGGCCCAGTCTTAAGTCTCGAATTTGGCGCCGCCCGCGGAATTGCCATTCATTACAGCCGAACATACGGCTTAATCCGCCGGAAAGACTCCGGCCCACACCTATCATTGTGGTGGAGAACTACGATGTCCGACGTGTGCAGCAATTGCGCACGGATCTGATTCTGCATCCGCAGACAAGTAGGGCCTCAGTGGGCCACATCGAGGTGGCTGGCAGTGAACAGCTTCTGGCCAAAAAGGCCAACTTCTGGCAGCGCCGCTGGCAACTTTGGCGCCGCAAGGCCACCACAAATCGTACCGAGTGTAGCTACCCACTCCGGGATACCGCCAATTCTCATTCGAATAACAACAGCACCTCCGATACCACGGCAAATTGTAATGACTGTGTGGCCCAATGACAGGCAGTGACCACCCAACCACCGACCGAATCGTACCGCCACACCATCACTTCCGTTCTCCAGCACTCCTTCTTAGCCACTCTCTATATACGTAGTTTTGGCCATGCGTAGTTTGTTCGCCTTTAGTCAACTTTAACGTATTTATTTTTAATAAATTTCCACAAGATTTATTTCGTTTTATTTTTATTGCTCGTTCAATTATAACCAATTATCTATGGTCAAATTGTCCGGAAACTGTGTCCAGGTGAGTACACTCAAAAAAGAAACAACAAAGACTGAACTTTAGTTAAAAATGGTAAAGGAATAACTTAATCCAGAAATAATTTGAATTTGTACAAAAACATTGCATACTTTTATGCACTTTTGAAAATACCTGAAGGTTTCTGCATACAAGCTTTAAATTTTAGGAATATAAGGGTTTCTTAATAAAAAAGCAAAATAAGTTCCTTTAAATGATAAAATTTATAATCTGGCTAGACAAATAATAAACAGCTTCACTTCAACTCTATCATTCTGTATTATTAAAATCAATCCTGACAACTTAAATTATTTTCTTTTATAAAAACAATACTACAGTCTATTTCTCGTTCTGTTGGTAATTAACTATAATTCTCAACCCCTTTGAAAAACTTTTAAAGAAGCCCGTAGATTCAATGTTGAAATGGCAATTGGGTTACATGTAAAAACGTTGTAATGAGAATGCGGATGCCATTTTTGCATTGTTAATTATAATTAGTTTTACCCCAGGTAATGACAAGCCAACTCCGCGTGTTTTCGACTGTAATGGCTTTCGAGTAAATGGCTGCATCATGAATATTAAGTGCTCATCCGACCAGTGGTCGTGCTCATTTCGAACTGGCCAATGCATAAAATTGCAATCAATAAATTCGCAACGCGATTAACTCGATAAGCAAACAAGAGACCAGTGCATCGCTGGTCGGATAATGAATTGAACGAATTAAAAGCAATCAATTCCAGTCGAGCGGAATCGAAACGGAACGCAATTCGAATCCGAATGGGGTCAGGGACTTGTGTGGGTATGGGTTTTCCCCATTTATACCCGGAGGTAAGCAGCTCGTTCTCCAAGCTCTACGTTAAGTTCATACATCCTTCTCAGGCATGTTTTTTTTTCTTGTGCTATTCAGTCAAGAGGACAATATGTATATGGAAATATCCTGGAAACCAAGACGGAACTTGAGTCTGTGTAATATATCTGCTTTCGTTCTCTAAATATATATGTTTTCACTTTCGACTCCTCTCGATTTTATAAAGTTTTACGCTCTCTCGATGTGTACATATACTCGTTTATATATAAATTCCTGCATATTTTTGAGTACTCGTTCCGTTTTAAAGTTGTTGTCCAGTTTTGGTAACACAATTCTGCTGCTAAACCAAAAACTAAAAATGAAAAATGAAAATGAAGTTCCCATTTTCCATTCCAATTATCCGAACCACAACTCCGAATGAACCACCACTACCACTACCACCACCACCACCACTACCAACCAACCAACCACAACCAACAGCTACCGCCCACAGTTCGAAAACCAGTTCCCGCAGCTCTCTGCTCCCATAAACAACTGCAACCGGAACAGTAGCAATGGCAAACGTGAATAAATACTAATAAATATAATAAACAATCCGAAAAATCAAAAAAAAAAAAAAGAAAAGAAAATCCATTTAGATAAGTTTCCCCACTCGATTGGCATGATTATCTCCAGTGTACGTTTTTTTTCTAAATCGAAGATAGTTCACCGTATAGAGCACCTTGCAAGAACCCACCACAAGAACGGCACCTCCAAATTGACTTACCCAATCTGGCTAACATTTCGGTTAAATCTCATTCTTTTAGATGACTTCGACGATTACTTTCAGTGGGGATAGAACGTTAGGTTAAGATATCACAATGTTATTACTATACAGACTATAGAATAGACAAACACTTACCTTTCGAATAATACGAGCATACCTCAAATGCAAATGCTGAAAAATAGAAGAAAAGAGAAAGAAAACCTTTTGAGAATTCTACACAGTTTATAGAGTACACTCGTATAATAGAATATTTATAACCGAAAAAGAAAACAGCAACCACTGCACGGCCATCTGGATGCAATCAAGTAAGTATGCAAGCAGGTATATGAAATAGATAATATCCCTTAGCCGAACCACTAGAGTCAGTTATAGAGCTTTAACCATCTTGATTTTGGCCAACTTTTTTTTGGCCGCAGCGAAAGCCTTTTGCTTTGATGTCTCGTGCAAGTAACGTTTATTTGGCAACCAAAGTCGTAGATGCCAGCAAAGTAATTCGATGTTAGGCATGTCACTCTATCTAGAGTCTAGACCAATGCCAAACACTCCTAAGCAGACAATTCTAAAGAACATTCCGAATTTGTTGTCGATTTATGCAGATCATTTCGCTTCAGGAGGAGGAGGATACCACAAGGGATAAGGCCTGAGGCGGCAATTAAATGGAGTAATTATCCAATGGCAAATGGCAAGCAATAAGTGTGGGCAGACGAGCGTAACAAATAACCCATCTCCCATTTCTCTATGTAGATGTAAACCATAAAAAGCTAAAAACCAAAAACAAAACATATAACATAGTTAAATCTGATAAACCACCGTCTCAGACTTTGTAGGAATTATAGTATTAAGTGAGCCAATTTAGAAATTTTATTGTTGTAGAGTGTTTTATGTACCAACTAGAAACCCGAGCTAAATGTTGATTGTATTGACACAATAACGCAATAACTTAGAATCTGTTCAAATGAGTAATGCAAATACAAAACTCTCTGAAGGGGTAAAAAGCGTAACTATGCTTAAAAACACAAGTGAAATGAAACAAATAAGGTAACAAATACACACACACACACACACATACACAAAGCACAATGACAACAGCCACTTTGAAAAACATTCAATGGATAAATATGAAAATAAGCAAATGTATATATTATAAGAACCGCTGTTTGCTGTAGATTTAGTATTATTACCTCGAACCTCAGTTCGAAATGCACTTTTTCGAGTCACGGGCTTGCACCTCCCTCGGATATAAACTCAATAACTTTCTGACAATCAGAGGTTCTAGCCTGGAACGAAAAACAAAAGATAAAAATACAAAAAAAAAAAAAAAAGGAAATAAAACAAACCACAAACTCAAAACTGAGAACGACAAATGGATATTTCTACACTGGATATTTCTATGCATGCCACAAGTGAAACTTTGTTAAACTAAGCAATTATTGTCTATGTAGCGTAGTGTAGAGCCCACAACTCTGTAGCTGAGCCACGAGCATCTCCCGAGGAACTATGCATCTGGAAAAAAACACGGATACGGCAACGGAATCGGATAGCGATGTCTAATAAACTGATAAACACTGATACATGTACACCCTGTCTATGTCTATTAAATCGAAATTAAAACCCAACTTTACTGGAGAAAAACAGAAAAAGAAAGCAGTTTTCAGTTTTCCGACAGGAAGATATTTTTGTTTTATATTCGAAATATATTTATTTTAATTCTTTCATAGCCATTGCAAGTTATCCAAGGATTTTCTTGTATTATATCCTTTTGGAAATATAAATGAATGGATTGCGGGTCAAGGTTCAGCAGGAGGCACATGCATCGAGTTGGCAACAATTAATTCAGTTTTGGCCCTGTTTCATTATGCATGGCTTTCAGCTACCACTCTTCATTATTCGGCCCATCTGTGCCGCTGTCGCCAGCCATTGTTTGTTTGCAGTTCTCCGGCCATTATGACACCATTTGCCAAGCCAATGTCAAACAAGAACCAAAAGCGTCCACATCAGCAGGCACATCAGCATTGTGGGTGTGGGTGTCGATGGGTGGGTGTTTTGTTGGCCGGATAAAACCGCAGACGCAGCCATTTTGTTTGCACTGTCTAATGAGAAAAGTTTGCGGAAAGCATTGACAATGAATGCTCCTGATAAGAGTGGTTCTACTATAGTATATATATATATGTGGGTCAGGCCCACAACCACCGACATAGTTCCACAAAAATAAAGGGGAAAACCCATACATAGGTTTCTTGATCGATTGCCATACACTCGTTTAATGAGCTACCAAGAAAATGGGAAAAAATCCTGGGCCTTGGACAACCCTTTTCAGCTTCTGGTCTCTAATTACTTTTGTTTTTTTTTGGGAAAAGAAAGGGAAGAAATAGGAAAGGCAGGAACACTGATGAATTGAACCCACTGAACCGCAGACAAATCGAGTGGATGTTCTACACCGACCTCAAAAGGAATCCAAATACTCAGCTTTTGGGTTTTGGTCGGAGAATCTAATGACAGCTTCTGCCAAAAAAAAAAAAACCTAAAAATGCCAAGGCTGCAGAAGGCCCGCAAAAATGACTCCGCATAACACTTGTTCGTCTGAATGGATTTTCCAGCTCTAAGTCCGCATAATTGCAGCTGAACACAAAGCACTGAATGGTTCTAGTGTGCATTGCCTTCTATACACAGATAAAATATTTTAAAAACTTAAATGATATATTCAAAAGACTATTATATTTTTAATTTAAAATCAGCTAACAAAGGGGTGACATATTAACGATAGAAATTTTCTTAAAATTTACAATTCTAGATTAATAATTTAGTCCATTAAACATTTCTCTCAGTGCACTATTTTAAGCTTTCACTTAGGCACAGCTAAACACATACATACGTATGTATATCTTCTGTCTTTGCCTCCCATCATCGTCAAATCACGCATACGCAGCGTAAATCGACAGAAACAGAGAAGCATTTGAAAGGCATTCCGAGCAGGCTGGAAACTTTATGGCGAAGACTTAACCATGTATTAGGAACTTTCCGACATTGTCAACTGAAAGTTACCAAGTGGAATGGGAGACACGAAAAACAGAATCGAGGCTGAATAAAAAACTAGCACAAGAGAGACAAAGTATCTGGATTAAGTGAGCTACTTGCCGCGGGCTTTAAATCCATTTGTCCACCAACGATTTTCCCGCAAGCAAAACAATAAAAAACATTACCGAAAAAAACTACAAGCATTATCTCGTATCTTGCTTTGGAAAATGGTTCGCGTTTAGCGAGTTAAAAAAGGAAAACCGGAAAATTACCAAAATTACCGATTGTATTAGATTAAAAACGAGGGTTGCTTGAAAAAGTTTTCTTTGCTTCTTCGACATTTAATATAATGGTAAGTTTAAAGATATTTTTTGTTTAACTTTTAATATTTCTTAAAACACATTTCCCCTGAGTGCCCTACAAAAAAACCCACGGAGACTTTCCATTTTCTTTAGAAAATTGTACAATTACGAATCCAAGAGAAATCCCCAATAGATTTTCTTCCTGCTCGCCTTGCCAATCAGCTGAAAGCAAACAGCAAAGTCTGAATAATGCATTATGCGCCACTTCCCCTACCATCTAGCCCACTTTCCCTCTCCTTGGTGTAGTAAATATAGCATCACATCCCACCAGGACGAGCCATTTGTCCAGCACCCCGCTGCAAGTTACTGATATCGAAAAGCAATTTCCGTTATGATTGCCACAGCTCCCTAATCCCCGCAACGGATGCACGCAAATGAGAGACCGGTGCAGGAGCATGAAACGTTGCTGGGACAACGGCGACAACAAGTAGCCCTGGCAACTGCCATCAATCAAAGGGAAACAGTAACACAGCTCATAACCAAATAAGTCTCAACGGATCCAAGTTAAAAAAAAGGCATTTTTAAATCCATCAAGGTCAAGATGTTATGGGGACTTAGTTCAGCGTTGGATTTGTACGATGAGTATCTGAAAGCCTTCAAGATCAAGGATGATCCAAAGAAGGATGAAGATTCGCAAGAGAAAGGAGCAGATGGAGATGGTTCGTCGAATGCCCTAAATATCCTCATCTGTGGTGGAGCTGATCCGCGTCATGTCATCAAGACTCTGGCAAAGAGATACACCCATCGCAACCAACCCAATCTCAACATATACATGCTGGATGGCTGCGCGGAAATCGTAGCCAGGAACATGCTGCTTCTAGGCGTAGCTCTGGAGGATCCTGAGTCTTTTAGCTTAGTATGCAAAGCGCATTTGTTTATGGACCTTTACGGAAATGCTGTGATCCGGCCCAGTTCTCATCACTATATGGCCGCCAAGGGACGCACTCTGCTCCAAATGGTCACCGATGAGGAGAAACTAAAGGCTTTGGCTCCTATGCTAAATATTGAAGGTCTAAAGTACAAGGAACGCGATGGCTTGGAGATGTCCTTCAGTTTCTGGCAACCTAATCCATTAAATGTTTTTGTGGTGACCTCCTATTGGGAGCAGCGTGTGAGGACTCTTTTGGGTACCCGATACGATCATCGCAATGGTGCCTTCGACTGGGATTTGAACATGACCTTGAAGGATCGTGGTGGACAGCAAATCTGTTCGCAAGAGTATCGCTACTGGCGAGAAACGGGTGTCGCTTTTGTTTTTCCGGAGTATGAACATTGCAAGCCAAACAAGACTCTTGCGGCAGGATTAGTGCGAAATGGGCATACCTATTTACATCGTGGCTATGTTGGCGATATCCAAACTGGACCCTTTTGTGGCTTTGGACTCCGCACCACTGAGGAACGTATGCATCATTCAATGCACGGGGATAATGATTATCGTGCTACTGATATAACTGAACGAAATCTCTTGGAACTTTTCCATGAGCTGCAGACCCAAACCCCATATGAGCACGACCCTACGCGTTCCCGGAAATATGGATCCGTTCAGCTGCTGATGACTCCGTTGCTTAATTACCAGGAAGAGGATGCTGCTGGCCAGGCGACCTACGACAAACCCTGGATCCAGATGCCAGGAGTAACAGTGCATTTTATGTCGCCCATGGACATGTTGCAACTGCAAAAGGGCGCAATTCGTTGGAACAACATGTTCGATGTCGCCTTTATGGCCTATAACTACTACAGTTTCTTGAGCAAAGACTTCTTCCAGGCGATGCGTGCCCAGGCTCTTTTTATCTTGGAGACCAAACTGATGACCGTAGAACGTAAGGATCATGTGCAGGAGTACGAGAGCAAAGCTAGGGAGCTGATGAAGGAGGCCGGTCTGAAGGCGGCCATCAATTACCAGGCCATCAATGCCAAGAATATGTGGCTTAAGTACAAGAAGACTGATAAAGACGAACCAGAAGACGAGGTGGAAGCTGAGCCGGAAAATATTCCTCAAATTGAGAACGATGAAGATGATGACGGTTTATCTGAGCAGTTTTCCGGTATAGTAATCGAAGAGATTCCGTCAGAAAATCAAACGGTTTCATCGATTAAAAAGGAAGTACAAGCAGAAGGTCCCCTCCAGCTGAATCGCCATCTCCTGTAAATCATCTACAATCTCTTAGTGAAATAAATGTACAATTTAGTGAATACAACAGGTAACTTTAATTTTGTTTAAGCTTCTTCTTTTGTTTCCCCGTGGCCCAAGTGTCCAGTTTAAACTCCATGCCCTCCCTCCGCTGTCTTATTTTTTGGGGTGTTGCAAATGAAGTAGCCTTTCGACGATTGTCCTCATAGTCCAACAGATGATCAATTCGCATATTAAGCTTGTTCGCCCGCGTGCCGGTACCCCACCGATCTTTCTCCCTGCGGTGCTGAAATTCATTTTCGACAACCTTTCGCCGTGGTACATGCTTCAGGGCCGCATTCCAATCACCAGTTTTCTTCAGGTCCAACATTATGTTAATCATTTGGTTGAGAGTTAGTGATTTTCCCGAACCGGATCCCCACTGCAAGTAGCGATCCAGGGGAAGTTTCGCCATTCGCAGACCCAATCGCTTAGCTTTGGCCAGCGACAAAGGTTCATTGTTCATGGTGTCTACCATGGCACCCACTACGTAGATGTCATCTGGATTATATGTTACGAGATCCTCCCGGCAGTGGGGCGTTAAGTAAACCAGATTTTTCTTGGGAAACAGCTCCGTAAAGCACTGGGGATGGACATTCATCGGGAACTCTGGGTTCAGCATTGTAGGGATGTAGCGCTGGAGGCTCTGCATGGTTCTACTGTCCATCTGGGCGTTGCAGTAGTGGAGGTCAAAGGGTTCGTCATTTAGACGATTCTCTGCGAAGCACAGCATAAGCTGTTTGGCTGCATAGGAAGCCTCCCGGTTGTTCATATGCTCATCGTAGGAGCAATCTAACACAATCTTGGGAGCGAACTGCATGGCACGTGTAAGCCGGTTGTTCTGCCAGTGATTAATTGTGGTGTCATAGATACGCAGGAACAGAGACGTATGACCCAGGCCGTATATGATGTGTGTGTTCTCCTCGCGCTCCTTCCGCATTTCTTCTATTCGCCGTTCGGCGCCCTCCGCTCGCAGAGCCTTTTTACGCTGTTCCGACTCTTTCTTCATCGCGATCTGCCAGAGGTAGGCAAAGTACTTAATCCGAGCCGATTTCGTGGGCAGGGTCAGCACGTGCTCCCAATGGTGATCCTGAAAGAATTCAATTGCCGGCACACGGCGTCCCTCTTGATGAGCAATGTCCGCCTCCAGCTGCAGGACCTTTAGACGCTTATCCCGGTTCTCTTTCGTTTCCGATATCGTATCATTACTAAACACTGGTGAAGGCTGGGAAAACGGATTAACAAATTTCTTTTCGGATTCCTCCGAGCCGGCTAATAAGTTTCCATCGCTATTTGATTTGGATGCTTGTCTTACTGGTGTTGCACTTCCCTTCACCAGTTGACTGCCCAGCCGCCAACGTGCAAGATGCTTAAGCATTTTATGTAGTGCTTAACGGTAGTGAATAAAGTCCTTAAGCTAAATCGTGAATTAAATAACAGAAAAACAGCAGAACGTGATAGGGTTGCCAATAACGCGGATGGTGTACGCGTGCGACTGCGACCGGTTGCGACAGCTGATTTTTCTACATATACATCTACATAGCTATTTTATTTGTTTAAATAATTATTATGAAATTATTTTGTTTAAATAGAAATACTTATGTAAATTAAATTAAATAAAACTGATAAATCAGATCTTATAAAGAAGCCTAAATATGCGAAAATATAATTTTTTATGTGTTTATTTACAGAAATATAGCTATTATTCAAATGGCCAAAACTTCCCTCTTGTGGCATCCCTTTAATCGATAACTGCTGCGTTACACTGTGATTGGCATAATAACAAGAAGCGGCTTTGCCGACAAATTTGCGCTTGATTCGGGAAAAACGTGTAAAACATCTAATTTACTAACTAAACTACGCGGAAAGCAATATAATCATAAACAGCAATGGCTTTAGTTTGCGCACGTAAGTAAATTAATCAATTTTCAATAGATACTTGAGTGTTATAAATCGCACTTTCTGCTCCAGTGACAAACGAAGTCCCCGAGACGCCCGTGGTTTCTCCATATTCAGGAGCCGTATTTGAAAAGCGGGTGATTGAGAAGTATCTGTTGGAGAATGGTTGCGATCCTATCAGCGGCAAGGAGTTAAAGCCGGAGGAACTGATAGAGATAAAAACACCGGCTGTGGTGAAGCCAAAACCGCCAAGTGCAACCAGCATTCCGGCCACTTTGAAAACGATGCAGGACGAATGGGACGCTCTGATGATCCATTCATTCACACAGCGCCAGCAGCTGCAAACGACCCGCCAGGAGTTGTCGCATGCCCTCTACCAGCACGATGCCGCCTGTCGTGTGATTGCAAGGCTCAATAAGGAGGTGGCTGCTGCTCGGGAGGCTCTGGCCACATTGAAACCCCAGGCGGGCATTATCAACGCCCCAACTGCGATTCCTCAACCAGCCCTGGCATCCGAGGCTGGTGGATCCGCAGCCCATCCCATGGAACAGGCGGGCATGAATGCTGAGGTTATACAAAAGCTTCAGGATAAGGCCACGGTGCTGACGCAAGAGCGTAAGAAGCGCGGCCGCACTGTGCCCGAGGATCTGGTGACTACGGATCAAGTTAAGAGTTTCCTAACCGTCGCATCCCATCCCGGCCTGCACTCGGCCTCGGTGCCCGGCATTTTGGCCCTAGATATCAACAGTGCTGATCACAGTAAGATTTTGACTGGCGGCAACGACAAAAACGCCACTGTATTTAACAAGGACACCGAGCAAATGGTAGCCATCTTAAAAGGACACACCAAGAAGATTACGAAAGTCATCTATCACCCGAACGAGGATACCGTCATTACTGGCTCTCCCGACATGAACATACGCATATGGCACGTGCCCACTTCACAGACTCAACTGCTCCTGCGCTGCCACGAAGGGCCTGTGACAGGACTCTCGCTGCATCCTACAGGGGACTATTTGCTGTCCACTTCGTCCGACAAACACTGGGCATTTTCAGACATTCGTACTGGTCGTCTGCTCACTAAGGTAATCGATACTGCCGAGGTCGGACTGACGACAGCGCAATTCCATCCTGATGGTCTAATCTTCGGCACGGGCACCGTAGACTCACAGGTCAAGATCTGGGATCTGAAGGAGCAAAGCAATGTTGCCAACTTCCCTGGCCACACCGGTCCCATTTCGGCGATCTCCTTCTCGGAGAACGGTTACTACCTGGCTACTGCCGCAGATGACGCCTGTGTCAAGCTGTGGGATTTGCGAAAGCTCAAGAACTTCAAGACGATCCAGCTTGATGATGGCTACGAGGTGAAAGATTTGTGCTTCGACCAGAGCGGAACCTATCTGGCAATTGCTGGCAGCGATGTCAGGTAAGTGAAGGGTTATTGATTAATAATGCCTTTATTTAAATTTAATACTTAGAAGGGGTATATAAGATTATTGTTCAAATTATACCTTGTTCTTCCATCGCTGCTCCACCTGCAGATGATGATGTTTCTTGAAGTGAGCCATCCAGTTATGTAGGCGGTTCTGTTTAACTAGAGCTCGGCGAGACATCTCCTTCTCAGCTGTCATGCGACGTCGAACCTGTTGCTCCACGCATCTCAGCTTGGTTGGTTCTATGCGGTCCAACTTAGCCAAGAGATCCTGAAAAGATGAAACATCTTATCAGAATTTTTCAAAAAGGAGCTTAGAGTAAATTATCACCAGAACATGAGCTTGGATTTTCTCCACCTTGGCCAGGGTCGTGTCCTGTTCGTCTTCGTATGTAGACTTCGGTGGTGCCGGTGGAGGGTGCATATCCTGCAAGGTGCGCCACTGCTTGGAGGATTTCTGCACTGCTGGCTTAGGTGGCGGCTCTATTACCTCCCTCTTTTGCTCCGGCTGGACTTTGTTCTGGATTAGCTTGAGGATTACTGGTATAATACTATTTAGCTTTATGTTTAGTTTGCTGGCAAGAAAAAGAAAAATGTAATTGCAATTTAAGTTCTGAACCCAAACCCAACTCACTCCTTGCAGTATCTTTGCTCGTAGTCATTCAATAAGCCCTTGGCACGCTCCTGAAGGCCTGCCACTCGTCGCTGTAGAAATTCAGGATCCTTGAGGAACACATTGGCTTTCACCTGGCGCTCATATGTCTTTTGAGACTTATCGTGAAGGATGCCTACGATATGGTTCAAGAGTGCCAGCTGAGTAAAGCGCCTATTGTAATTGGATACCTTCAGGCGGTTCCTCTCATATCCCCTAATCCAGATCTCTGCATTCAGATGATTCCGTTTGGCTAAATAGGGACGCACTGTTTTTTCCATGTAGTTCTGTACTTGGCGCACGTGCTCCAGACCAGCTGGGTGGCGTTCGGTTATCTCCATGGCCGCAATTTCCTGCGGCATATTTAGTCTATTGCAGTCATCGTTTCCTTCGGTCGGATCCTCCTCCACTGTGTCGTCAAAATAGCTAATCAGCTTTAGCAAATACTGAAATCGGCCGTAAACTTCCTGCACTTCCATCAAGACACGCTGATGCTCAAGCTTCACTTCGTTGAGCTCATCTGCCAATTTGCTTTCTTTTAGTATCTTTAACTTCTCCTGGGCCTCTAGCATTTTTTTAAACTCGTCCGCCTCCATTTTCTTTAGCGACTCCTCTGCAAATTTGTGGAACTCTTCCGCCTTCTCATATAGATTGTCCTGGTACTCCTTTTCTCGTTTTCGGTCTAAAAACAGTTCTTGGGTGGCATAATACATAAATCGATTCCGGGTAATCTCCCTCAAGAGCAGGATGTCCCTGAAAGATGTAAAGAATTAAAGCCGATCATAGTTCTATTCTATTATTCTACTGTTTACGTTTTCATTCGAAACTTTCTGGCCAACCGTTGCAGACTGGCATCTTTTATGTAATCTGGATCGATGGTGGTCACCACACAAGGAGCACGAGGATTAGCTATTTCTCCGCGCTATGAATATTTAGTCAAAAATAACTAGCAGAACCTTGAAAAATATTATTTTCGTACCGCATTGAAATCCTCAATCGATAAATTTATGGGTTTTGGTGGCTCTGGTTCAACATGAGTCTTTGGTCGCACAAAATCTTCAAAGATAGAGAATTATAGTAAAATATAAACTAATTTAAATATATGCATACTTTCATATTCGCGGTATACTTTTCTTTTAAACTTTTTCATTTTTAAGTTAAATTCGCAATGAAAGGCTTCCTTACTAAACTTGTTTATTCGGTTTCCAAGGTACAAATAACATTCTTCGATTTTTTATTTACAGGATTTACTTGTGCAAACAGTGGCAGGAACTGAAGGTATTCAATGACCACACGGCCCTGGCAACGGGCGTAAGATTTGGAAAGCACGCTCAGTATCTCGCCTCCACCAGCATGGATCGCACCCTGAAGCTGTACGCCATCGAATAAGCAAATGCAGAGTCAACATATTTAGTAATTAAGTCCAGCTAATTTTCTTATACAATATATTCTACGGATTCTGTTTTCTTGAACAAAACTTACAGAAAAATAAACCTGACCCTCTATCCAATACCTGCAGTTTCTTGAAATCATAACGCGAACTTTTGAAAAGACTATTCACTTATTTAATTCAATATTAATTGATACACTTATAAACGTATTCAGTTCCAAGTATGGTATTTCATCTTATTATCTTTATGACGCCGAGATCTGCTTTAGAGGTCGCTCCAAATATGAGGCTAGTGACATGGCCTTTTGCTTCAAAAGACCCAGTCCCACAGTTTGCTTGGCGTACAGACAGAGTAACACACTGGCAACCTAAAATATAAGACAACAATAATATTTTATACAAGGACTCTTTTGAGATCTGGGTTAAACCCACCTGTGTAATGGCCACATGTCCATTTTCACAGTCAATCAGGACAAATGTAAGACGGTCTTCGCGGAAGGCATTTCTTCCGTGCTTTTCGTAGGCTGCCCATATATTACTGGCTATGGCAGCCGTAATCCTGGCATCCTTATCGCCGTATCCAGAATATGCCAAAAGAGCTCCTTCCTGGCTAAGTAAGCTGTGGATGTAAGAAAAACGTTTGATGGGAGGGATAAGCTGCGTTTATGTATTCCTTACAGCGTGTTTTCCACTCCTCCAGTGTTAGCCTGGCTAAGGACCTGTGTTAAAGCTTTCGGTTTCAGCATTTCGTATAAATTTTAATGCGAAAAATAAAAACAACAGAACTACGCCTTCACAAACACTGCACTCCGAATGGCAAATATTTCAGCTGATAAGGAAGCTGCGCTTCGTTGTGAATGACAAATATGTGGCGCCACCTATAATAATGGTTTCAAGATAAAAAATAAAGTAATATTTAAAAATATCACTTATGTTGTTGTACTTATAAAGAAAATATAATTAAATTTAAAAAACTTAGTGAATAATATCAGAAACAAAATTAAATTTAACTCATTTAAAATATTTTCAATTCAAACCATTATTAAGTTATTTTTTGTTACACTTTAATTCAACGCTAATAAGCTTCGATAATTACAAAATAATGACTAGGTTTCTAATGATAGTATTTCAGTTATAAAATAAAAACTCTTTGGCCATCTGCTATCAGAATTGCTTTTAAATGTTTTCAATTTCCTTAAAATGTTTTTCTGACTCAGAATATGTATGCTTTCTTTACTTTCCTTTTAGAAACACTTATCTCTGCCATTACAGTTGCTAAAAAGGCAACAAAGTTATCTTTATTCCACCCATAACTTCCGCATAACAAGAATTCGAAGGCGTATTCGGTGACGTCACTAACAAACCAGGTCACGGACCTATTACGCAGCAAAAACTGCACTCTTTCTCCCTCCTCTCTCACTTCCTTAATGGGATGCATCAACGCTCCACAAGGGGTCCGAGCAACAGTCGTTATTTTCAACCACCAAATTCGAAACGCTTCATAGCCCAAATACCTGTACTTTTGGCCTTTGGTTCTACGCAGTTTGCCGAAAATCATGGTTCTTAGGAGGGTGCAATTTTCCGACACTGCAAATTGCGCATGACTCAGCCACAAAGCATGCTCCGGCTCCATCCTTTCAGGAAATTCCATGGTACCGTCAACAGGGTTTATTTTGCTGCGCGAAAGCAAGCAAAACTGGGTCATTGGCAACGCTACGTCGTGAATGATCTGTGCCAGGATGCGAATGGTACGAAATGAAACGTCTATGGTGTTGCATTAAAAATTTATTTATTAACTTAGATTCAACCAAATTTAGTCTTGGGTATATTATAAACCGAGCAAACCGACGTTCGCCACGGGGGGCGTGCAGTACCTTACGCACTGCATTGGTACATGATATCGCAATAATGATGGAGTCTTATGTTAATTAAATATTACTACCGCCTAAATATTATGTACACTTTGACAAAAATACATCGGGGTTGTCCCCTCTATATGACATTGTTTGGTGTAGCCTTCAATATTGGTTCATTTGTGTGCAAAGTGGGGGATGAGGTGGGGTGCTGTTGGATTTAAAGAAGGGTGAACATTATTATCAGGGCCGTTAAAATATATATTTAGCAAGTAAGTTTTAAGGGGTCTTGGTGAGATATTTATTTTGCGATTTATCGCGGATTTTTTTGTTTTTAGATGCTTGGATTTGTGGGGTGCGCTGGCTGATCTGTAAGCTGAAGTTTAGAATACATACGCATGGCCTGTCTGTGGCTGTTGTTCCGCTAGCTAAACTTAATTACATTCTTATTTACATGCTAAACATGTCCGCCTCATCTTTCGAGTATCAAAATACATATGTATGTGTACAACTATAAATGTCCTTCGAATTCGATCACAGCGCGCGCTCAATGTGAAACAAAACTTTTTAAAAACAATAATAACGTAAAGTTCTGCAACTGAAACAGTTTCCGGGCGAGAGGTCACCGCTCCCCTTCTCGGATTCAATTTATTTTCGTGGTAACGGGGTGGGCAGCATGCAGGCCTATTGCGTTGTGGAGCGGGCACGTTTTGCTTTCGAGTACAGGGAAAAAAGCATGGACGTTTCTGCCTGGTTAATGTCAAACTTCTTCCGCTGCGGCGGCAAGCGTTCTGCAAAACGTTTCGGTATCCCGGCTGCCATTAGCGTCTTTCGGTCGTACAAGTCCAAATTGTCATTGTAGTATGTGATGGCGTCCCAGCACATCTCGCTCAACTTCGGCACCGTCATCCACATCTTGTACAGATAGTTACGACGGCGCATCTTCTTGCCACAGTACTCGATGCCTCCGAATACGTACATGCAACCATTATCGGAATGAGCAGCCGAATGGAAGTACAGTGGGCGAGACAATGTGGCGGTCTCGATACGGAACCATTGCATGGTACGCAGATTCAGCTTCCAAACGTCCCGAAAATAGGTGAAATCTCCCTGTAAATAAAGAATTTTAGATGATATTTTTTACATTAAACTTAAATATAAATATAAAAATAAAACTCAAATCAACTTTTAAATTTGAGTAGTTTTATAACCCTATAATAGATAGATAATTATCTAACCTGCAGACCGCCCGTTATAAAGGCTTCGATGTCCCCGTTGGAGGACTGGTGTTGTACACAGGAAAAGCACTTTCGTGGCTTTGGATAACCTCTATTGCCATTTCCCATGTCATTGGCGCGACGATCGGGATACGTGTCGAAATAATCCCAGCAATTCGCCTCCAGGTTGTATGCCGGAATGCGTTGCAAATCGTAAACGATGTGCGATGTTCCGCCACCCAACACAAAGATGTGCTTGCCATCGTAAACGACCTCATGACGATAGCGACCCTCCGGATCGTCGCGCATCTCCGGGCGGCTTATGTACACATTCTCCCAAACGCCGGTACGCATATCCAAGCGATACACATCACAGGTGTAATCAAAGCCCGTCGTTCCGCCGATTGTGTACAGGAAGTGCTTGTGGATCACAATGCCCGGTCCGTATTGAGCTGTGGGCAGATCGCCCTTCACCTTCAGGCGCTCCACACCCGGTGTCGCGCCAGAGCTAGCCGTGCAGTATACGTAGCAGTCGTTGGAGCATGATTCACCAAAAGGATACCCTGTGCCTCCATGAGACTGAAAAGGAAAAATGAAAATGATTAATTAAAAATTATCAATCATCTTATAGTTTTACCTAATTTAATAAAAGTAAACGAAATATGTTTTTTCATTCAAGGGTTGTTCTTGTAGAAATTCACTTTTTTATCAGACTGTGAGATTTACTAGATATTTTCTAATGTAAATATATACGAGAGTACATACATTTGTAGAATTAAGCGGGTGGCATCTACGCCCCTGACATTGCTGCCAATGCATTCAATTAGCAGATACTTGAGCTGCTGCAGCAGCTTATCATCATCGCCTTGTCGTGGAGAAGGAGGAGGCGACAGTGAAAGCATACAACAATGAGGAATACAAGGAGGAGGAGGCAAATAGGGAGGCTGAGCTATAGCCCAGATAAGCGGAAACATGTGCCTCCAGTCTGTTTTTGTGTATGTATGTATCGGGGCATGATTCGTCATCAAATTATAGCTAATTGTGGAATGCAAGGGAAGGGCATTGCTGCCAGCATAAAATGCCAACAGCTCCCGTTTGGTTTTGCTTTCGGTTTTTCATTTTTGGTTAGTTTCCTCCCGAATATAAAAAGCGCGCGCACTCAGCTGCTGCTGCTGGGTGGGTATGGGTATAAATGGTAAATACAATGTTTTGAGTTTTTCCAGCAGAGTGCGAGGTGGGGAAAGCTGGAAAACAAGTTGTTGCATGCGGCAGCAGCATAAACAACAACTGCGTAGTAACCGAAGTGAAAAAGAGGGTTGCCTGGCATGCGCAGAGGCAAAGAAGGAGGGGGAGGTGAAGGAGGTGCCCCCGAGTGAGAGGCAACGGCAATGGCCATGGGCAGCTGTTTGGGTTGACATTTCGGGTGTTTAGAATGCATAAACAAAACTCAGAGGCGGAGGAGTGCAGGCGCGGAGCAGGGCGTGGCATTGGCCCTGGCGATTTTTCATTGCCCAGAATAACCCTCTTTCTATTTTTCACTCTCTCTCTCCTCTCTCGGCAGAGAGAAATATCTGAACGATCAGCTGTGTGTGATTTCTCTGCTCGTTTCACCATTCAATTGTGTTTTCTACTTCATCACAAACAAGTTTTTTTTTATTGCAATTGATGGTTTTGCTAGCCTACACAGAAAGAAAACAAGATTATTTTGAAAAATATGGATATCAAACTGTCACATTAGATCAAAGAATTCAATTAGTTCTTAAATTTTTCATTTAAATTTTGGCCAATTGGGAAATAAATCTTGTTTAATACCCGTTAATTTCACTGATCTCGTTGAAGATCTAGTTTTCTGTAAGAATCACTAATATTTTAAATGAAGTGATCCACATTTCTCACTGTGTTCACCAACACACCCAACGAGAGAGGGAGATGGAGAGAGATATACAATCGAACTCATCTATTTTCGTCTGTCTAAAAGCCCTCGGCCCCGCCTCTTTCTATATAGCGATTTAGATAGCATCAAATAGATACTCACAATCAACACGTTATTGTGAATGGTCAACGCATTGGAGGCCAGCTCCACAGGCATATTGCTAGCATTATCAGCATTTAGCTCCAGTCTCCAGGTCATAGAAGCGAAGTTGTAGCTCCACAGCTCCTGGAAGAGCTGACAGCGTCCGTATCGCGATGCAGTCGAGGCTCTACGTGGATTATAGCCACCCAGAGAGTAAAGATGCGAATTGGAGGCTATGACTCGGTGACCACTACGCGCCATTGGAAATCCACCCGGCATATTTTTCGTTTTATAATGGCACTTAACCAAACGCAACGGCAGGAAGGAATACAAAGGTAGATCACGAGTCGTTCGCAACTTTGGCGTGCTCTTGGAAAAATCATTGCCTTCCTCGCTTGAGCTAGTCGATGCGTCGGAATCCATGTCCTCGAACTCCGTTTCCGAATCACTATCGCCATAGTCCACATCCACGTCATCGTCGTCCTCTTCGTCCTCCTCCTCCTCATCCAAATCGCTGGATTCATCCATGGGCTCCACGGCTCCTTGTATGGCCTGGAATCGGGCCAAAATGTCCACTTGATCCTGTTGTGGTAGCTGTTGCGGCTCCGGTTGACCCATTTCCTCCTCCGGCATGTCCTGATCCATGATTATATCGTTATTATTGTTGTTATTATTATTATTTTGGTTTGCCAGCTGCTCCTGGTGGTCAGAGGGTTGAGCCTTAGCGTAGAACTTAACCAGCAAATCAAAAACAAACAAAAGAAACGACCAAGTGTGACGCAGTTGTTTAAATACGATGCACTTGAGTTTCGCTGGGTTTAGTATGTTCATAACACGCTTGCTGGGCTTTGAGTGACAATAACGTAACAAACAATTTTGGTTTGCTCCTGTTTGACGGAGATCAGAACTAATTTTGTTTTTTTGTTTGTGCCAAATATATTGTTTTTCTATTTTCAGGGAGGGGAGGGGGCAAAACGACCTCGCACAGCTGGCTGACTATAATGTTGCTGTTGTTGTTGTTTTTGTTGATTTGGTCTCTGCTGCTGCTTCTGCTGTTTTTGTTGTTGTTTTCGTTGTTTCTACTGCTGTCATTTTGACACACGCTCCCTCTCACTCGCACTCACGCATACACGCACGCACATGTGTTACGTTACGTGTGGTTTTATGAAAATGTTTGCTCGTTTGCTGATTTAACAACTTTTCCGTTTTTGCTTTTGGCTATTGCAATTTCACTAGGTGTAGCACGCTGGCGATTTGTCTAACTATTGCAGTTGATGGTATCCGCGCATCATTTCGTGTGCGACAAACTACGCTTTAAATTTAGAAGTGAACATTCGAGTGCATTTGAACTAGAGGTGACACCGTATCGATTGAGCATCGTGATATCGATAGTAAACTTCAACAGTTTCTTTGTTATTTAAATTATTTACGTTATAAAATTTTGGGGTGTAAAAAATAAAAATACAATCATTTTTGTATTAATTGCAATTTTAGCAACCAACATTTGATCAATGGTCAAAATTAAGAATCTTTTAATTCTTAAAATGGTATTTTAAAATCTGCTATAGAATTAACTTCCGATTCTAATTATTCTTTAGCTACTTTTAGGTGTGACCATTTTCATCACCAGCCCTGAAAGTATGCCCCGTTAATTTCTCTCCCGATAACTTTTCTCCATTTCCAATCCTTTACAGCCCGGCCACACTCGATTCTAACAAAAAGTATAAGACCGACCGTCGGCACACATTTTCCACACGATTCTGTTCTTTTCTTGTGTAATAAACGGATGCGGTGTCAACTCGTAAAAATGCAATACCACCAATACAAAACGCATAAACTTTGATATCGCCCAAATATTCGGATGTGGTACGAATTCGGACAGTAGCGTGTAACGCTGCCGACTTGTTTGGTCAAATTCTAAAGTTCCTCCGTCGGCCTTTTGAGAGTATCCCGCGCAATCCCATACCTGGGCATGATTACAACGCGCCAGTGCGACATTTGAATTGCAGAGCGCAAGACGCGGACAGTCAGGATTCCCAGGATCAGGGAACCAGGACACCAGAAATCCCAAAGGAATCGCAGGAGTTGCGATTTCCACCAAGCCTAACCTAAAAAGGCACGTGCAGCGCGCGTAGAAGAGTTTTCTGCGTGCCACCACAGCCAATCGGCTCCTCTCCAAAAAACCAAACAAAAAAGTAAAATTCCCGAAGACGAAACCATGGCCACCCTCCTCAGCAACGGACAACAGCAGTCGGTGATGGCCAACAGTAATGGTCAGGACCAGCAGAAGGACGAACCGGAGCAACAGCAGCAGCAGGTCGAGATCAGGAAGTCCACCTCACCAAAACCAGGCGCCATGCCCAGCTTAAAGCTCAACAGGATGGGCTCGGTGTCACCGAAAGACAAACGTGTCTATAAAATCGTCCTAACTGGCGGTAAGTTTTTCGGATTCCCGTTTATTTTTTTATCCCTGACAACTTTGGATTTTTCTGTGTATCTGTTACAAGTGTCCTCGTATACTCGTTTCCTCGTGGAACACCCAACCCCCCTGATTCCGATTTGTTTACGATTTGTGTCAAGGTCGCGAAATTTCCACGAAGGGGTAGAGATTGTGTCCTGCGCGCAGCTTCCCATGATTTCCCCACCTTCAAGTGGTAGTTGGTAGCTCTGCCATAGTTTCTATTTTGTATTCATATAGCTACCGGCCTTTTTTTTTATTTTTTGTTCTTTTTTAGCTGGTCGGCTCTTCAAAGACCCGCCTCACTATTCATATGTAAAAAGAGAACCGTAAAACCTGTTTGTCCGACCATCATATGAGCAGTGGTTGGGCGCGTGGTCTAATCATTTAATTTGGCCCAAGTTATGGCTGTGATTAGAAGCCGCACAAATAGCATTGATGTATTGGCGGGCCTATCTTCCCTGCTCGTATTATCGCTTTCGGGGCGGTCTTCCTCTGCCCCAGAATTCAAATATATATTTTCGGGAAGAAGCTGATAAAAACGAAAGCCCCCAATCTCCACGTGTGGTACTCGTACGAAAATCCCCACAAAGTTCCTTTAAAGACCCATTCAAAGAATTGCTTATCGGTTAGTCAGTTAGAGAGAGAATCAATGGTCAGGTCTGACTCTTTTTAGAGTGCCTTCAAATTCGATTTCCCCAGAACGTTGAGAAATGCACTCAGTCAGCAATGGGGCGTAATTGCCTTCAGGGTCAGGCCGTAGACCTAATCGAGTGATATGTAATGCACATCGTCGAGTAACTTGAATGCACTTGATTTATTGGAATTTGGGACACAAGTCGTAATAATTCATTTCCGCCTTGTCGAACTGAACAATGAGCAATTAGAAAATATCATGCTGAATTATAAGTTCTACATATCTTATCTACAAATATTATTTTGACAATTAACTTGAAGTTTATTTCTCACCATAATTATAAGGTATGAATTCTTGAACTTAAACTTCTGATTTCGAAATGAAAAGAAATGTGTTTGCATATAACTTATTTCATTAGGGTCTAAAACTGGCTTAAACTTCTTTTAGTTTTAGAATTAATTAGCTCTTTCTGAACTAAAATAGGTTTCTAGGAATATGCTTAGGCATTTACAAACCTAATTAACTGGTTACGTTTTTAATTTATGTAAACTGTAAGCACGTGTCAATGTGTATAGCTAATTAAAAGAAATATTAATTATTAAAAACAATAGAGACGTGTGTTTTTTAGATATTTTTTATTAAGTTAGCAAGAAATAGGCAAAACTTTTTCAAAACTTTTAACTTTTTATTTGAGTTAGTAATTATTGGAAAATTACTGGCAAGTTTGAGCACACCTTTCTCCCGTTTTCCTGACAATCCAACTTGGATAGAACTTAAGAATACAACCTTAGCCCATTTGCCAATAAACAAATAAAATTAACGAATATATATTATGCATTTTCAGGGCCCTGTGGCGGCAAGACGACAGGCCAGTCCCGTTTGTGCACCTTCTTTGAGAACCTTGGATGGAAGGTGAGTGTCGTGGGTGTATTGTATGTGTGTTTGTTTTTGGGGGAAAAGGGAAGAAAAAGTTATTGGGAATGGGAATGCCGATCCTAGACTACGGCAAGTTAGCTATTGCTTTGGGCCGCGGGCAGCTCTGTAAGTAGAGGAGAAATGATTGAGCCATGGCGATAGCGGGATTACCTTTAGATACTCCCTCATTACAATTCTATTGTCCCGAAAAAAACTCGAAACAAAGCAATGAGCATGTTAAATATTTTCAGGTATTCCGCGTGCCTGAAACGGCCACTGTTTTACTCAGGTAAATTCTCTCTCCACACACCATTTACACATTAAAAAAAATCAAAATAAAACAATTAAATTAAATGTTAAATGAAAGGCAATCAAAGCGAAAGGAGCCGCTCAGTAGGTTCCACCTGAGTTTGGACCAAGTAGCTTTGCCTGCCGCTGGTCTTCTACCTGAGATGATTACCATTCCGATACATACTTAATTCGATTCAAGTTCCATGCTTGATGATGCTCTTGAACTCTTAAAATACTCTATCTAGTGAATACAAAAATATACTTTTTTTTCGGATAGATGCTAATCCCTGTTTATTTTTCTTTCTCTCTTTCTTCCCCCGATTAATCCGAATATGTAGTGGCGGCGTGAAGTTCTCCGATCTGACCGAGAAAGAGGGTAAGTAGAGGCGATGCCACCGAGAAGTGGGAGACCAAAATATAATTGGTAGTTGACGGAGCAGAGGAGGAGGAGTCTTACATTGCAAGCATTTTCCGATACCAAATACATAACTCATTTTCCGAGCACTGTCAAGTTCGACACCAACCGCTGATTTCTCGAAACAACGAAAATAAATCAAAATATTTACTTCGCCAACGACCAACAGAAAGAATCCCTATACTATACGTACAATATATATATATATGTATATATCGTATATGCTAGAAGGTATTTTTAAAATCAAGCAAGTGCGACAGTCCGCCATACTATAGATAGTACAAGTATATCTAGTCTATATCTGAGTATATAGCCAGAAGGCCCCCAAGAAAGTCACGTCTTCAATGAAACTTACGTAATTCCTTGGGACACGATTCGAATTCCCACTCGATATCCTGTTTGCGTGACTCGAGGTCATTTCGCTAGCATTCTTCCTTTTAACTTGGCAAGCAATTTGTCAATTATGGTTATTAATGGATTCACGAATGGGGTTGAGCGTACGGGGGGTGGGCGTAGGCCCGTTCAAAAAAAATATATCTAAATTACCAAAAAGCGCTATCTGATAAGATACAGAAAGTAGCGAAAGTCTGATCACATGTCTACCGATTAGTCGCAATTCCTTACAAAGCCTTTATGAATAATGGTATTTGCAAGCAGGACAATTAAAGCCAACCGGACGTTGGGGGTAATCAACATCAATATTTTTATGGCTAGGGGAAACTTATCTAATATATAATATATATACCAACTCACATCCAAAACCAAACAAAACGCCACCCACACTCACAGACCCGCCCACGCCAACCACGTTCGTTTACAAAGATCTGCCCTTCGCCGCTCCGGAGCACAGTCTCATCGACCTAACCGCATCCTGTCCGCGCTGCTTGGCCAAGGCTGCATCCCGGCCCAATGGCAGCGAAGGTGAGTGCCATGTGTTGGTGAGCCGGTGGAGCCACAGATCGGTTGTTTTTATCCTCGTTTTGCATTTGCCGCCCAAGCACTCTAACCAAAATCGAAACGAGTTTTCCATTTGCCCAAGTCGTCCTTGTCTACCTGTGCTGATGATGTGTCCTTTAGCTTGTTTTCTTAATGCATTTTCTTTTATCGGATAAAAAGTCTTTATCAGACATATCTTTCATATACTATACATATATCTTTGCTTTGTGTTTGTCCTCAAATATGACTTGACAATTTACCAAACAGACCATCGAGTTTGGCCCATGCAAACAGCTCTCTTTATTAACTCCTAGATATATATATTACGTGTATTTATTTATTTGTTTGTTTTTTGGCTTCGTTCTATGATTTATATGCGTTCCCATAACACTTGTGTCTACTAATACGTCGTAATCGCTGCCGAGTTCTGTACAATGTGTCTCTATCTAAGAGATATATATAATATATCTGCTCATTTCAATAACAATATTTCATGCCAAGCCTCTGCAATTTCGTTTAGTCGCTACAATTTCAGCCAATTTAAATGGGCCATTTAAATTTAGCCGCAACATATGCAAAGACAAAAGTAGGTATATATATATCTATATATCTTAGCGGTCTGTTGGGTTTTCGTGACGAGCAACACGTGTGTATGCTCTGAAGTCTCTGATATCTGGACACCCACTCTTCCAAAAGTCTAGATTCTTGAGACATTGCAAAAATGACGGTTGACTGTATAAACTTTTCCTTACTTGATTTTATGGTATTGGGGTAGAAACAACACAGAAATGGGGGATTGTTTAACGAATTAATTACCTTTGCATATACACATTCTGCTTATGGAGACAGTAATTCTTAGTTTAATATTACAAAGATAAATGAAAATTTTATTATATTTTAAATTGAAAAATTGAGAAATTTGATGAGTTTTATGTGCTAAAACTTACATTTTTGTTAGTAACTTTTTTTTTTTGCTACTTTTAGATGGTTTTTAAGCCAATACACACTGTATGTGCCAAAAAGACTTTTGGTGATTGTTGGCCAGTCAGTCAGCCATGGCCACATGGCAATTTCCCAGCCGAAAACAATTTTCGCTTTTCATTTCGGCATTTGGTTATTTCTGTGGGGGTGACCGAGCTTTTTAGTATTTGTTTTATATATGCTATTTGCTGGTCTTCTGACTGACTAATTAAATGGGGTATATATTATAGGCAAAGAATGTGAAATGTTTAACCGCATCACGTGCCTGCTGACGCGAGTTCGACATCCGCTTCCCACTAGAAACCGCACCCCCTTTTCGACGCCCTTGCCTTGTTGCCCCCCCACATCAGACCTTTGTTGTTTACTCTCTCTTCGCAGTTGGGCGCTAAATGCGCTCCATTCAATTATTTTCGTAGTGCTGTGATTTATACAGTTGAGGTCGCAAAAATGTGGAACACACTCTAATTCCCATTTAAATGGTTGTCTAAATATTGATTTTAAGAATGTTATTAAATTTGAATAGTTTATTAACTTCTACTTTGTAAAGATTATTTACATCTTTTAGTTTGTATTACAAAAGATACAAAGAGAGTTTAACTAAAGTCTATTAAGTTAATTTACTATTTTTATCTAGAATTATTAACTATTTTTGGATTTTATATTTGTTAATTGAATAAACTTTTCAACCGCCACTGTATATACACCTATAGATGTGTGATAGTTGTTCTGATACATATAGGAACATTTGATAGATAATATATATTAGCAGAGGGCGGGTTGTGAGGGGCGGGGCTGTCGCAAGTCTTGCCAAGAATTCTCGTTTGAACTTGTTATCGCTCGCTGTCTGTCAGAGTCGCTTTGGTTGGTCGGTGGTCCTCTCTGTGCTCGATTGATTTCCCGAAATTGATTGCTAAACAATTTTGTTTTTTGCCTGTTGATTCGCTCCCGCTTCACCCCATGCGCCCCCCTAAAGTTCGCCCTTCATTTCGCTTAATTTTTTTTCCTAAATACCTATCCAACTTCTTCATTAAGCAACCCGTTTTCTCTGGCATTATGTAAATTAACTTGGTCAATTATGTACATATGTATGTGGCTAAAGAGCCTCCTAATCTGCATACACTTTTATTATCTCGAGAGTCCATTAAAGGTTGGCTGGGCAATCACACACACTCAGAATTAACACAATCATCAAGATATTTAGTAAGCAAGGAAAATAATGTGGTTGGTTTTACTAGGGTTTTTTCTTATATAAATAAACAGGAAATATTAAAATGAAATAGAACTTAGGGAACTCTGACTTTAGAAAGTGTTAAGATTTTAAAACCTCTCAGGTTGGGTATAAAGTTTTCTTTTCTTTTAAGTTTAAAATTCATTTTAACCAGCTTATCGGGATTAGCAAGCTCTCCATAAATATATTTCTTCCTGTGTATAGATTTCCATTCTCTGATGCGCAATAGCTGGTGAAATTGCAAATACGCGTACACTCTTCTTACATACATCTTTAGGCTTTTTGTACATTATTTTGTCTTGCATCATCGTTGCTAATTGAATTAGAATTGGCCGAACAAAAAAGAAACAAAAACATTGAGAGAAAATAAAAAATAGCAACAGAAGCACAAAAAAAAAACAGCGAAAGGCTTTCCACGAAGTGATCGATTTCACCTGTCACCCGATGCACCGAGTCAAGTTCAATGCAATTGCAATACACATGAACCAATAAAAAACCTACCAGCAGCTGCAACAACAATAACAACAAATGCGTAAACAAAAGCAGCTCGTTAGGCAGAGAACTTTTTCAGAAACATATATATACTTTACACGCGAACGAAAGCCGCAACAAGTGTTGTTGCGTCGCTCCCCCAAAAGCACCTGATTTTGCCACCCAACAACCCCCCATCAACATTATATTTGCCTCTCATGACGGTTGGAAATGTGCAATGTAACTACAGGGGAACTTCAGTAAATGAAACTAGAAAATCAATAGGTTTAACAAACTGTTTAAATAGTTTCCATTTTTAAAACGTTTTTGTGATTTTTAAATTGAGATAATAAAATTATCTTTACCACTTTTTTGGGGAAAGAAGGAAAACAAATCCCAAAGAAAGTTCCAGTTACAGAATTTCGACTGTATTGGAAAGAGTACTGTTATGAAATAGCTTATCGCCATAATGACAACCGGTGACTCCCTGTCTCTGGGAAAAAACCCCTCGTCACCACTTCAACCAGCTGAGGCTGTGAGGCAATCAGCGATTACTGTTTATTTACTCGTTTCAACCGCTTTGGCTTACTGGGCTAAAAAGCTCTAGATTCCGCAAGGTCATTGGTCATTTTTTAAATAAGCTTTCTAGAAAGAAATTTTGAAATTAAGGCAAAAATTTACTAGTTTTTTTAAAGAACAAAAATGAATAGGAAATGTGAGAGAAATTTTCCCAAAATCTTTTTAGCAATTTTCTTTGTTTAAAGATTAGTCACACACATTTTGGATTGTATATTTGTTTATTAAATTAAAATGATAGAACGCCATTTCTACATTTTTAAAATACTTTCAGGCTTTGTGTATCAAAAATTAACATTGCTTTGTTATTATTATTTTCTCTGAGCTTGAGATTACTAAAAATGAGGATGACTTTTGGGTTGACTATAACTGCTTTGGACCGCTTTTTAAATTAGTTTCAGCATTGAAAATAAATTGAAAGTGAGGAAGCGAATAATAAAAACAATGCATGTGCTCCGAACCTCCATTCAGACATCAACATCTGGAGTAGACGAATAATGATGAGTACACTTTAACCCCCTGCTGATTAGAAACTGTTTACTTGGGGGGAAAAGTACTATTCCAGCTCTGAGTTGACAACAAGTTGATTGAACTTTTGAATTCGATTTGTGTTTGCGCCATATCATTCCATCGACTCAAATTCAGATTAGTTCTCTCATCGCTTCAATTTGATATCGCTGAACTCACTGGATACTGGTTACTGGTCACTGGATACTGGCCATCGTTCATCAAGCATTGTCATCACACTTCAATCAGAAACCGACCGCCCAGTCAATTAATTCTCCTACAATTCGATGCCCACAGTGTTATATTTCCCTTACGATTCGAATTTGCTTGCAATTGTATTTCGATTTCTATTTGTTTCGATTGTAAATAAACGTCGAGAGAGTCCAAAGAGTAAAAAATCACTGACCTTCTACTTCCCCCCATTCAGCCTATAAGTTCCAAGAGAATCTGATCCGCACCATGGTGCAAATCGAGAACACCTACTTTGAGCTCGGCAACTCGAGCACCCGCAACTGCCTGATAATCTGCGATCGCGGTGTTATGGATGCCAGTGCATGTGAGTAATATCTCAATGGAATTTTACCATCTTTTATTACGGTATACTATATCATTTGTATTCCTCCTCAGACATATCAAAAGATAAATGGGAGAAAATGATGGCTGGAAACAAATGGAATCCTGTGGAGATGCGTGACAATCGCTATAACCAGATCCTGCACTTGGTCTCTGCGGCCAACGGGGCTGAGGATTTTTACTCCACAGAGGTGAGTTGCAGGCCAAAGGTCGGCCGTACAGATTTCACTTGACCAATTTTCTTATCCGCCACAAATAAAACGCATGAATATGGTAGAACAGAAAGCGCCACTATCAGGTATCCAAAAATGGCTGCAAATTCTAATGCCAGTTGCCACAGTTGGTCCCGAAATTCCAATTCTATTTCATTATTGTGTTTCAAATCTATTTCTAATCTCTTTCATTTGTATTTTTTCATCATATTTGATTTCATTCATAGAATCAGTGTTTTGAAGTAGTTTTTTTTTTAAAGTAAGAGTTCTTCAACATTACTGAATTTGTAATAATAAGTACATTAGTTAATTAGCTCAAACAGCTCCATAAATCTTAAAATTCCAACGATTTTGTAAAGTGGCAGCTGTATTTCTAGCAAACGCTAGCGGCTTTCTAGTTGGGCTAAGGGCTACAGAATTTAAATTTAAAGTTAACTAACTTTTACTTGTTGATTTCAGGATCACGCCTGTCGCTCGGAAGGCGTTGACTTAGCCAGGGAACTGGACTACAAATCGGCGGCTGCTTGGGTCGGCCATCCTTACTTCGATGTGATTGACAATTCCACTAACTTCGAGGCCAAGATGAATCGCATGATTGAGTCAGTGTGCCAGAAAGTCGGTATCGATATTGGCGACCGTTTGCAAGCCACCTCTCGCAAGCTCAAATATTTGGGTAGGTTTTCTAGTAACCAACTAAGTAGAATTTTTTCTAAGATTATGATTTCTTGCAGTTGCCTTTCTGCCGCCAGACAGCGAGTTTCCACCCTTTCAGGACTTCGATGTGGTGCACCACTATCTGCAATCTGCCGGACCCAAGGTGCAGGCCCGCCTTCGCAAGCGTGGCCAGAAAAGCCACTGGAGCTACATCCATACACAGAGGCGTCCAAACGTTCACGGTCAGGCCCGCATCGAGGTGAAGACCCAGCTGACGCATCGCGACTACATGAACCTGCTGGCCCAGCGTGACGATGCTCACTTTACCATCTATAAGAAGCGCCGCTGTTTTCTTATCAACAACCAATATTTCCAGCTGGATATTTACAAGGAGCCAGGACACCCACGGTACGTTAGGTTTCTCGCCTGAAAAGTTGTTCTTTATTAATAATTTTTGGTTTTCTGCAGCTGCAAGGGATTGGTGCTATTGGAGACGTATTCATCGCTCACCGGCGAAGCCCTTAAGAACTGCATGCCCAAGTTCCTGAATATTGTTAAGGAGGTGACCGGCGATCCGGACTACTCCATGTTTAATCTGTCCCTTAAGGAGGACTGGAGCACCACCAAGAAGTTCTGCCGATCGGCGACGCACGGTAAGCAGGACGATCTGCCCAGAGAGCCACCGAAGCAGTATCATCCATACGACGAAAACAGCGACTAAGGCCAGGAGTCTTCATAATGCTTAGCCAAAGAATATAGAACCAAAAGCTCGAACTTTCACTGCTGTATATACCATAAGCCTCAATCTTTCGTAGCTCCTATTGCATGCCACTAACTTTCCTGTTTACCAAAATTTTAATTTCTTGGCCAACATTTAGAATCCCTAAATCTTTATTTCCGCCTGACTGTGTTTCTCTTTTGATTTTGTAGTTAAGGGCACCGCTAATGGAGTCTCGAGCACGCCGTTGCTCCTCAATGGTCAGTAGGCTCCTGAACCTGAATCTCTTTTGCGCACGCATATTACACGGCAAAAGCAAGTTAAAAGAAACACCAATGACCTGGCAACAAAATGTACAAAAAAAAAAAAATCAAACTAAATTGAAACCCGAAAGGAGGTCCTTCCAAGATGTCTTGGGAGATCCTGTTTTTGTGACCCCGGCCAATATACTAGAAAAAAAACACTTAAGCCCCACACACCCTGTTACTTATTTGCGTACTTAGCCCCTGGAGGATGAAGAACCCGTAAACCGTGAGAGGCGTATGTGTCGAGTCTATAGTTTGTAGTGCAACAGCAACCGAAACCGGAGGTCGAGGGCCCCCACCCGTACTTAATTTTCTTGTCATGTTTGCTCGTGTTTAATTTTGTAAGCCATAACACTAGAAAACTACTATGTAAATCCATGAATCCGCGATATCATGTGACGTTTTTGTGTCTTTTGGAAAATATGTGAACCGATAATTTTAACTTTAACTCTAAGCTAAATTAAAATAAGATTACAACTACAAGACCACCAACAAAACAGAGTTTTAACTTTCTTAATTCTTGTGTTTTATTAAGGCCTAAATAAATAGTTGTATTTTGGGCTGAGACTAGTGGACCTTTTCCTTGTTGATGCGCTTAATGAGTGTATCCACAGCACGATGGATGCGGAGGACCAAAAGATAACCAACTATCAGGGCAGGCAGGCTGACGAAAGTAGCAAGGGCCTCGTAGATGAAGCGTGGCGCAAAGATCTTCCACACCATCAGGTGGCGGCAATGAATAGTGCAGGCCATCATGGCACAGAAAACCTAGAAATAGATAGCAAAAGGTTATTAGTAAATAAAATCAATGACATAGTCCACGTCGGCGTTTACCTTCAGTCCCTGCAGCATGAAAAATTGCGTTGCCAGCTTGAAACCAGTTCCCAAAAACACATCCTCGTACTCGTACAAAGTTAATTCGCCCCTTGTCATATCAAAGCCAACCGCCTCATTGGCCAAATCTGTTATCGATGTTGTGGCATCCGTTTTGCCACTACTATTCCTGCAGCTTCGGATGAGGTTGGGAAACAATGCGAACAGTGAAAAAGTCTCTGTACTAAGAAGGGAGTACATGCAGAAGAAGAATATTGGACCACAAAAGGTGTTCAAGATGACCAGGATGCCAGATATAAAGTTTGACTGTCCAATGCCTGTAGTTCGACCGACGAAGGCAGCACGCCACTCAATCTGCGACAAGGTCGTTTGATGCGAGGTGGCAAAAAAGCAGAAATGAGCCAGCAGGAACCAGCCAACCAGGGCCGTAAATGTAGGCTGCACACAGCTCTCTGAAAATGAATATAATTAATAACCAATCTTAGGAAACTTCCAACTCAATCACTTACCAAAACTCGTGGCAGTTCGATAACGCAATATACCGTGGACACTAAGCAGGATAGATCCCACTGCAACACAAACCACCATACCGATAGAAGCACGTGGCTCTAGAATAACAATCATCACCAATGCAAGGAAGACTCCAAAAGCTATGACGATGGACGAGTAAACGGTTGCCAATCCATAAACCACCGGAATCTGATTACGTCTCTCGTCGTCATCGCCCTCGTACATGCGCTTCATCTTTTTGAAGATTTCCGGCACAATGCTTTCGCTTCCGTTGATGGTTACTGTATGTGAACTCCTTGGAGGAAGCACAAAAGTCATCAGCGGAGCCCAGGTCACAACTATGATTTGCAACAATAGCAGTCCGTAGATAACCAGAGCCATGGCATCGATATGGGTGCGCTGGATGTTCTTGATGGAGCTATTAGCGAGCAGCACATGACCGCCTGCGCAGATTGAGGCAACCGTGGGTCCATAGCGAGCCAGCAATACGTTAGGTGAGTTACCAGTCAGATTACCGCAGGATCGCAAATACAATCGAGTCAGGGTAGTGTACACTACGAGAACCACTACAGCGAGGATGTAGGTTTTGCCCGTTCCGGGCTTCTTGATTGAGAATCCTGCTCCACCGCTATTGGCAAAGTCCGTACAATTTCCTTGCTCCTCGCGACAACGAAATAGTGTGTAGGTAAAGCGTATCAAGCAAATCGCCAAAATGCTGGCCAGGATTAGTCTTAAGGCTGTGGAGCGCAGGAATTGGGAGATTTTGAACTTTGTCCTGAACTCCAAGCGGGCACTTAGTCGTAGGAGTTCATAGGAGAGCAGAAGTATCGATGCCGCCAAAAGATACGACAAGATCTTTGCTTCCTGGATGACGAAGCTATTCGAGAAGAACACACCCACAGAGGCGAAAAGAAGCAGTCGCGTCGGCATGTGGGCAAACCGTTTGACCTCTGACCAATTTGTAGCAATCTTAGTCCAATGACGCAGCGTATGGAAAGCCAGGATAAGAGCACTAGATAAGGCCGTGAAGAAGATAACTCCATGCTCTTCGGTCTTAAAATAAAATGTCTTGAAGTATCGGTATCCAAACACTCCAGCGGCCAAGTTGATTAAATATGTGTAGAAGACCTCCTTGCCTTTAAATATGTGCGCATAGTCTGCCGGACGAGAGTTGTTCACCAGCAGAAAGATAAAGAACAATGGCAGGAAGCTAAAAAGCAGTCCCTGTGACATCTGCGTGGGATCGAATCGAATCCAAATCTCTCGACAGGTCCCGAGGATATCTCGCAGATGTATATTCAAATCCCTTATAAAGGACTTGTAAGCAACCTCGTTATAGATGTTTTGCACTCGGTGGGTTAGCAGTATAAACTCAGTCTCCAATTGGTCCATTTGCTCCACATTAAAGGTGCGCTTGTTTTCCAAAGCGTATTGGAAAAAGTACTGATAGATCTGCTGGGCATTCTGCCAGGAATGGAGCAGCAGAGTCTGGAACTTGCTTAAATGTGGCACTTGCAGGTCAGGCACAATGTTAAAGTTGACCAGGCCCAAATTGGAGTAGGGTATTGGGACGCCAAGTATGGTCGCCAGTGTGGGGACCAGATCAATCTGGAAAATAAATATCATTGCTTATCTCAGTGCTGTGACGTGCTGAGATTACTCCTTGTCTTATCTCACCTGCTGCAGCATTTCGCTATCTGAGCCCGATTCATTGCCATAAAATCGGTGCTTCTTGGAATAGGCAAACAGCAGAGCATTAGTTTCGTCATCAGTGTCGCCTCCATGATCCCCAGATGCGGTCATCCCATGATCGCCCATCACAAAAAGAGTGGTGTCGTTGTCCATGCCGGCAACCACAGATCTAAATTGTTAATAAATAAGTTTCATGCACGTATCACTTAAAGTAAACACGACCAACCTTATCACCTCGTTCATCTCGCTCAGCTTGCGCGCCATTTCTTCATGCAGGGGTCCATGTTTGTGTCCACAGTGATCTACTCCCAGGAAGTGGGCCACTAGCACCTGCCAATCATCACTAGCCAGCTCTTTCGGTAAATGCTTTAATATCTGATTATCCACGCTGTCCAGATCGAAAATATCGAAGCTAGGAAAAGAGTAGGATCTCTTAAAGCGACGCGGATATAGATCCGTCCAGGTGCTATCACCCAGGAAAACCACCGGCAAATCGCTTTTGACTATTTGATCGATTACATTGTCCTCGTTGATTTCCGGCGAAGCAAAATTTGACCCAATGTCTATGAAAGTGGGTAGACTGCCGGTGGTAAGTCCTTTCAGGCGCTGCAACGTTGTGGTGGGCGGATCAGCACGGAATCTCATCAGGCGGGCATGATCAGGACTTTGCTGCAGCAGCTCTTGCAATACCAACAACTTGTTTTCGTAGGGCAGAGGGTCATCGGCGTTCTCCTTGTACAATCCAAACTCGTATTTCAAGGCATCCACGACTAGGACAATCACCTTTGACTTTTGCGGAAGACACAGATTGGAGGAGGCATTGATATCCTTAAAGATTTCGTTCACTACCTCATCGGTGAGGACATACTCCTGTTTAAGGATGAAGGATTAACGATTTGTATTTTTTAACTGGTTTCTAACTTACGGCATTAGGATTCGTGGACAACCGGCGGCAGGTGCTCGTCTCCGTTTTGGACACCCGGGCCAATAGGAATCCCCGCGAGAAAAGCAAAACACCGCTGCTAATGAGGAAGGCCAGCCAAATGAGCACGAACAAGTACGTGAACTTCATCTTTCGGCGTTGATTAATTAACTAACTAGGCACACAAATACTTCTTTGCTTAAATGAGTAATAAATTGTTCAGCATTTAGAACAATGCTGGCGGTGGCGAATCGTTTCTCCGGCTCGCCAGCCAGATTCAATTATATAAAACTATGTAATTTAATTGCACTTTATTTTGGAGTTGGTTATTTTGTCCCCGACATCACGTTGCGTACTCTTTGGTCGCTGTTTTCATTTAAAATTCGTCATTTCAAAGATTTTCTTATTGGTTGAAGGAAAAAAACTTATGAATATGCAATAGCGTTGCCACCCTGCCAAATTAAACAGCTGCTATAGGATCATCCCTGGTTTTTGGCAGAACTGCTAAGTTTATAGAATTTATAGGCGGGATTTTCAAATATTTAACATCGATGTTAAATGTACTTTAATATATTTATTTTTAACTTATTTCATAGCTGGACCATAATTTCAAAAAGTAATCAAAAGATGTATTTTTATGGGGCAAAAAAATTTTGCATTTATTCAAAGATTTCATACACATATAGCAAATCTTAGATCAGCATTAGCAACAAATCGGGTGCGATTTTTATCTCTTTCTTTAGCAGTATAGTACGGGTTCTACCCTCTTAAAATTACCAATGGATTTTAATTATTTTGCACGCAAGCTCTGATCATAATTCAAATTATATAGTTCTAAATAAATTTTGGAATTTGCTTTTAATCAGGAGCGGGAACGCCATCTAACCAGGGAACTCACCGCCTAGAGAAGAAATAAAATTGTAAAACAATTGTATATTTATGTATACTTTAACTGCAATACTCGATTTACTAATGTTTTGTTTTTGTGTTTTTACTAAATATTGAAAACATCTGGGAATGACAACTTGTGGACACCCAATATGGTTGAGTCTCTAAACGTACACTTAGATTGATAGTTTATATAAATGAATGCAGCAAGACCTCTGATCTATGTTCCTTCAAGGCTTAAAGTTTTAGAAAAATTAATCATGCAGTTCTCGATGGTGTTTTACAGGCAAATACAAATAGATGCATATAATATGTGCTCCTTTTGGCCCAATATGTCGCACAGGTTTTTAGTTAATTCGCGTTATTATACTCGTATATATCGTAACGACTACACACACATGAACATATGATCTGCAGGTTATTAAATTCTGATCCAGTTTGTTAGTGTGCAGACACGACAATTCGAATTAGTTAAATAAGTTATTAGAGTAGGTGTTTGGGTCTGTTTTTTGTGTGTAGCTCCATCGGACGCGCTTAGCTTCGGAGTTGCCCTGAAATCTATTTAGTTGAGTCTGTAGGTGAATTCAGGCCCGATGATGTGTTATTCTCGTCCAGGGCGTCTTGGAAACTGGATACAGAACCCGAACGGGATGTCACCTTAGTCTACAATGGAACAGAAAACCGAACAGATTGTAGTAGTCGAGATGCAGCAGCAGCATTGTTGCAAGGAGTATCGTTGTGTAAGCAAGCAAATCAACCGAAGGATCCCAATTCATAGTGAGTTTTAGAGTGGGTGAGCAAAAGTGTGTTTTGAAGATGTGTTGGTGGAGTTAGTGTCGGGCAGTTAGACGGGAATCAAAACAGAATCGCAACAGTATGAGAGATGTATAAAGACAGATATATAATAAAATAGTAGTTACCGCATGAGATTGGCACATAAAATTGTTGTGTTCATAGCTTACTTTAACGTTCTCGTAGGCAGAGCCTACCGAAGCCTCGATAGAACGCATCGACTCGGAGTTTTTCATTTGCGAAAATTTCGACGAAATGCCACTGGTGATGCTGCCAAACACCGAGGCGGTCTTCTCACCCGTCGACTTCAGCACAGACTCAGTGCGTTGGTATCTATGAAAAGAATGTAAACAATTTACAGTATTATTAACTCATTTTGGTAGTTATCTCAATGCACAAACAAAGTGGGCGGAACAACAAATGTGCTTTAGTTACAAACAGGCGAGAGTAGGTTATTGTGTTAAGGGAAGTATCGTGAAACACCGCGTTAGTCCGAGAACTCTGGGAGTTCCCAAGTAAAGGCCATCCTCAACCCAATTACTTACAGGGGTGCTTCGTGCACGGCTTTAGTAAACGTGCCCAAGCTCTGCTCCACCGATTGGTAACTAAATAAATACATGTTTCAGCGTTTTAACATGAATTCAAAACAAAAAGCATGGTTAGAGAAATTAAAACTGGCTAGTCGGGTTAATTGCCCTGCGAATCTTAGCCCATTTTTTACAAACTTACACAGTGCTCTCTTTGAGGTTCTTAATGCCCTGGTTCATGTCGTCCGTCACCTCTTTCCAGACGGTAATGCCCAGCTTGCGCTTGAGATCGGAGGCATGGCGCGTCTTCGAGGCCAGAACTGTACGCAGCGTGTTAATCTCCTCCTCTACGCGGGCTAGCTCCTAAAACGGTAAGAATTTCTCATTAGCAAACCAACTCAACTAAACACTCAAAAATGCAACTCCCCACCTGACTCCACTCAGCCCGACGCTGCTCCTTCTCCTCGACGGTAAGCGCGGCAAACTCGGCGGCAATTTCTGCAGATGCCACAGAAGCTGCTGGAGATGCTGGATCCGAAAGGTTGGCTGTATTATCTGGGCACGAATAGAGAAACCATTAAATATCTACATTTCATTAGAAACCAAAGATCAGGTGCTGTTGTAGGGGACTGTAGCTTAATTTCAATGTTGTCTGCGGGCTGTGTTTATGTACCTCCTTTAAAAGCAACTTCCTCAAAGACTTTGTCATAGGCTGAGTACACCGAATTCGGTTTGTTTATGTACAATTTGCAAAGACATGAGTTGGTTAATTGGTTAGTTCTGGGTTTTGGTTAATACTCACAAACTGTCGAGGCGAAAGGCAGCCAAAAAAAAAAGGGAAGAGACAGAGAAGTTAGTCGGGTTAGTCATGGTTGAATGTGGAAAGGGGTACAAATTTTTGAAAGACCTAGAACCAAGCTCCGTGGCCGTAAGCCCTAAAACTGGTACCTCTACTTCTATTCCCAATGTTGAGAAATCTCTTGTAATTATCACTGTTCGATATTTTAGCCAGATACGGTTTGGAGAAGTCTATGAACGTGACCTTTACGTCGCGCATCGTTCGCTTGGTAAAGAACTTTAAGCGGAAACGTTTGGCTATCGAGGAAGAGGGTGCTTGGTTAGCCAACTTGGCGCCAATGAACTCTGTTTCCACTGTCTGCAATTCCAGGTTATTAGTGTAGTCTGAATCTACATCATAGAAGATCTGATCCAAAGTCAGATTACGTAGATATAGCTCAGCTTCAGAGTCCTCCTGCTCATCACCATACCAATCCAAGACGGCATCATTGGTTTCCAGATCCAAGGAAGGTGTGCTGGTGAGATCATCGATGCCTGGCAGGTAGGAGTCTTCAATGAACTCCAGGCTATTGGGTTCCGATTCGCTCATTCTGTGGCAATAGCGGCGGTTTCTTTCATCTTTGGCAGCAACTTTCTATTTTGAACGTGGCAGCTGGCGTGGAAGGAGCATGTGGTCTTGGCCCAATCCTAAGCGGGTATCAAGTTTCCACAGTCAGCGTTGAGCACATTTTCTTGGCCCTGCCGTTAGCCACTTTGGTGATTCTTTGCTGAGCTTTCAGTTCTTGCCCCTCCACGTTCCACACATACAATTCCCCTCCCCATGCGATCGCAGCTGGTTCTCGTTGTTTCTTTTCTGATTCGAATTTGGTTTCGTTTTCGTTTTCTGGTTCTGGGAATGCTTCCACGCTCTTCTACAGCTAAAAGCCAACTGACTCGATCTCGGCTTAGAAATTGGTAGATGTGGATTGGCTGGCTCTTTGGCTCCGCTTGCTGATGATTCGTGTCAGCACGAGAGACGAGAAACGCCACAAAAAGAGCGAAAAACAAAAGGGGCAACAAACAGCAGCAGCAACTACCAAGACTACGGTAAGGATTGCCTAAAGTTGACAATGACCACAGTGACTAAAAAATGCCTATGATCAAATATATTGTTTGAGCTTTCCTTTCCGTGAAATTTTTGTGGATTTACTTATATACATTTTATGTATTTTTCTGATTAATTTGATAAAAAAAACTGTAGATAAATATCCAATTAATGGCACCATTTATCATTTTATCTCTGCAAAAGCCTATGATAGCCTATGACGTTAGAAATCAACAGTTGAATAATTATATAATTTATTCCAGCTTAAACAAAATGTTTAGGTATTAGGAAATATATAATTTGGTTGATATTCAAACAAAGAATGTGAAATCTCACAAACTTCTTATCGTTTTTTGGCTTTATTGCTTAAAAATGATATAATGGAATAATGTTTTTAATTTTATTCCGTCTTTATCTACAGTATGGCGAATAACAAAAAGTTTATAATAAACTTTAATTTCATTCATTCGTCAACTTTTTATATTTATTTAAACAAAGAAATGTGTACTGAATTATTTTCGTTTCATCCTGAATTCCATCAATTTGACTCAAGTAAATACCTTGATACCTGTCTTAGCATAGTTCTACTGTACATAACTGCTTTTGTTTGTTTGGGCAAAAAAAGAAAATAATAGACTTCATAATTTTTGCTTCTTGCTAAATAGTAATTACCAGTTCATATTTTTTCTGCATTTTCCCAGTTTCCTCTGACCATTATATATTTTCTATAGTGTATGAAGAACTAAGCTAAACTGTTGAAATATTTTCTAAGCTCATCCCAATTTAACCTTTATTGCAAGTAACTGTCTTAATCAAACCATTAAAAGCTATCTTATAATTGCGACTCTAACCACATCCAATTGTCATTTGACATTTTGTTTTTCTATTTTTCCATATTCCTTTGATCTCAACCCACTGTACGAACACAAAGCCTCTGTGCCACATTGATAGGGCTAAATATATGTATGTGAGTTAGGTCTGGTTTTCCGCAAGTTGTTGCTGTTGTTGTGGCAGGCTCAATCCAATCGAAAACTCAACAAGTGGAAGCAATGGACAATTATTGAGTGGTTCGGTATGAAAACAGAGTTCCAAACAATTAGTGCCTCAATATGGTGATAAACCCGGTTAGAAGAGGCGTTTCGAGATGATGGCAAGCGCACCATCGGAAATTGCGCTTCTTGCAGCCACGTATGCATGGACGTCAGAATAAAATGCATTGCTTACACCATAGTCTTAAATGCCACAATCAACCTTCCCCATCTTCTAAATATATTACCATTCACGACATGTCGAACGACTCCCACGAGTTTCCGAGCTGTTGGAAAGTCTTTCACCCTACGTAAATCGCAAACATGACTCATCCGCCTATTGCCGGGGTTCCAAGGTTAACTCATTGTTTATTCTATCCCCCCAAAAACGATTTGTAAAGCGTCTGAATTAGTGCTCTACGATAATAATCCCTAATCACAACAAAAAGGTATAAGGTGTCACAATAGCCAGGTCACAAGAGAACCAAGAATCCCACGGACCATGTGCCGCTGCTTGGAAATTGCAATGATGCACTGGCTAAATGTGCCACACACTTACGGTCCTCCATTGCGGCGATGTCTCCTGAAGTCTGCGGCAATTTTGTTAATCAATTCAACGCGAATAGCACGCACTTGTCGCTAAAATTTTTAAGTTGAAAATAATTTTTTGTTTCCCCTGCTAAGCTATCGATGTCAGCTTTAGGAAATCGGAAATATGCAACTATCGATAGGAGCTTTTGAATTAAAGTTTCATCACTATTGTATTCAATTATAATGGTTAAATACATACAATTATTATATTAATATAAACAATATAATTTATGTCAGGCATAAAAATATAAACAATTTTAAAAACAATAATAAGATCGCTTTCTTATTGAGTTCTTCACAACCCTACTTGTTGCCGCTTGGCCATCAAGTCTATTGTTATTTATCCACCACATGGCAGAGCTGCCAGATTGCGCATTCATTCAAACAGAAAAGTTTTCGGTTTAAAACTTTTGTATTTCAAAAGAAATAAGACATATGGATGTAACTGCTATATCTGGCTTGGAAATAATAGTCAAAAATCGAATCGTGAGTGAAAATATCTCGCTTTGCCAGCAATTGCCATTTGGCATTCGTCTCGTACATTTGATTTTGTCCGTTAATATAGGAAAAATATATACATTTTATATCGTTTGTATTCTCTAAGTTCTTAGAATTACTAATGCAGTTGTTGTAAATATGTATGTATATTTTTAAAAATTTACAATATCAGGTCTGTTATTGGTGTTATCATACTTTCTTTTTTCTTTTTTGAAACAAAAGATTTCCGAATACAAAATAAAAATGTAACAAAAGAAAACGTTACGATTTTTTTTACGTTTTTTATTGGTTTTTTGTTTTTATTGAATAGTAATAGTAAAAAATTAAAATTTTTCTCATATTTTGTGTTTCAACTGTCAGATATTGCGCGGTGCAGAGTCGAGAAAACTGAAAAACCATCACCCGATACTCGTACAAAGTACTGGAAGAGTTCCATATCTTTTACTTTTTTTTTGACAGTCTACACCGCGTCGCATACGAAGTTAGTTAAGTGGAAAACATAAGTCGAAAACAATTTAATATAAATCAAGGGGATTGCACAAAATTAAAATGTTGGTACTCATTTTGAAATGTGAATAGGGTGTGTTATTTGTTGTTGTGTTTCGGGTACAGTATCATGGCTGTGTGTAAAGTGTGTAAAGGACAACGCTGGAGCATTTGGGGAGCAGGAGCAGGCGTGCGGAAAAGATTGTTAATTAATATATATAAGTAAGATGTATATTTGCTGTTCAAATAAATCGCCATCTCCACTTCCTCTCTTGCCCCGCAACGTAAGAAACGTTTTTACAATACAATCAACGTTCATTTAACATTTACTTTCGCATAAATCATAATAATCACTTAATTGGGAAGAAGGGGAAATGGAAATTTCGATGATAACGAAAAATCTGAGTATGGTGGTAATCAAAAATCGGGGGGCATTTAGATAGAAGGTAAATGTAAATAATTAACATTTTATGCTTACAATTACTTTCGTTCTTGAACGTTTTTCGCTAGTCAGTTTTCAATTCAATTAACAAACCATTTGCTGAACTTTCTGCTTACTTTTAGGGAGCTTCAACTAATTAGAATATTATGTGTTGCAATGAAGAATGGTTATATAAAAAGAAATTGGCAATTAAGTGTTTTATGTATAAAGTGGCCGGGGTTTAGCCATCACATCGGGAAACGGAACTGGGGCCGTGAGTCAGTTGTCTGTTTCGATTGTATTCGTATTCTATATATGTTGTATAAATGCAATTTCATATGTATGAACATGTGTGTTTAGTGTCGTTGTGTGTTTGTGTAGGGGCTTTTTTTTTGTGTTTGATTGATCCTTATCAAATCATACAAAAATAGTTGCTTGTTTTGTCATTCTTGTTTTTTTCAATTATTCTGCACAAATTGCATTGTAGAAAAGCTCCTGGGAGACAACCTATACCGTTATTTTTGACACTAGTTTTCGACTAAAAGAGACGTCCGCACGACTGCCGCTGCTCCGTCGCACTCACTGCCCGATAATCCAGTTCCAGCTTCTGGTCCATCTCCATCTCCAGCTCCGATCCCCGGCGCACCCCGACATGTAGTATTGCTGCTACTGCTTGGCGATCGGGACTCTCGGCCCGATGCACTTAGTTTTTAGGACCCCACACGGATGTGATGGGCGTGGTGGCAACCGGAGCCCCGCCAGCAGCGAAATGCGGGAAGTCCTCCTGCGACTGAGTGTTTGGCGCAGTCAGGTTCTTAGCCTGCTTCTGCTTCTCCCACGGCGCGTCCTTAATAACAAAGCCGTTCTCGCTGGCACCTCCAGCAACGGATTCAGAACCCGCTCCAGAAAGGAAGGCAGCAACTGTCTGTGGCTGCGGCGGTGAAGGATGGTTATCCAAATAGTCACGCTCATAGTCCTCAGCCATGCTCAGAAGCGTCTCCTTGGCATTCTCAACATCCTCCTCCTTGCCAATAATGGTCACCTCATTGGGGTTGGTATCATCGTCGGCAGCTCGGAATTTGACTTCCACCTGATTGAGAAAACAAGTTTTTTAATACAATTAGGTTTTCGAGAAAGGAATTCAGTTACAAAAGAACTTTGGACTTTAATAAAAGATTCTAGATTCAATTTATAAGATTATAGGAACCAACCTTGTGATCTTCCATGATCTTGCGGATGGTGCGTCGCCGCTGGCCAATGATGTGCGCGTGGATGCGCCTATCGATTTCGATAACCTCGCGATATAGGTTCTGGAAATCGCCAACAATCTCCAGGATGGCATCGCGCGCTGCCTCCGTATTGGCCTGGTAGCCAGTAATGGAGATGATGCTCTGATTGGGATCGTCCCGCTTGGGCAGCGAAATGTTGACGTCGTGATCGGCACGCAGCTTGTTAATCACAGCGCCATGGCGACCAATGAGCTTCGAGTGGTACTCTGTATCCACGTCTATTTGGAGAACAAAGGAGCGCAGCTCACGATCGGCCCGATCGGCCTCATAATCCTCGATCATTTTCTCCAAAGCCTCGCGGGCCTCGGCCACGCGTGCTGCAGTTCCGGAAACCTTAATCACATCCGACTTGAGCTCGCTGGGCGGCAGCTCCACGTGCACATCATGTGTGGACATGAACTGGCGCACATTGGCACCGCGTGGTCCAATGATAGTGCGGTGAAGGTCGAAAGGCACCGTCAGCTCCTCCTCGATGGGAATAAGATCGAACAGAGCCTGCTTTGCGGCCTCGCATTTTTCAATCCTTCCCGTGATGCGGATA